CAGAAGACTCACGAAAGTAGATTTCTGGTTGGTAACATTTGTTATTCATCAACCTGAGAAAGAAGATCTGCCTTATAATGTCAATTCCCAAGCTGGGAAATTAGAACTCCCATCTCTGCATGAAAAATAGGCAGGAGCTGGAAGGGAGAGAGAATTATTTGAGGGGAATTTCAAAAATAATCCAGTAAACTGCTGAGGAATACATTTTAGGAATATATAAAAGGACAACATGAATGTTATAAATAAGCTGTGCTAAAAGTATTCCTTTTCTCTTAATATTAACATTAAATTTAATATTTCCCTAACTTCAATGCAGACATATTTAAATTCTGTTGGGTCCTGATATACAAGATTTCTCTATGTCCCAAGCCTAAGACAAGTCATGATTATTGGATACAGCAAGACCTCAGTTTAGCTTTGAATACAATGTATAATTTTCCCCTGGATTTTTTCCCTCATTATTTATTTATTTGTTTGTTTTAATTTGTATACCGCCCTTCTCCAACAGGACTCAGGGCGGTGAACAGCCAGAATAAAACAGAACGTACAAAATTTTATTTTAATTAAATCTTTGTCCACTAATCAATGTTTTACTGCAAATGATATAAATTGAAGCAAATCATGTAAATGTGTTTTTAATGGGTGCACGTTCCTCTACAAATGGTCAATTAAATTGAGCTTTACCATACTTTTCAAATGTTTTGAAAGAAACTGGTTTTGACAAGATAGGAGCTCCCAAAGATATCATTTCGGACTTAGACAAATTATATGCAATATTCTGCCAACAAAAGTCTGTATAGTCAAGGCCGTGTATTGCAGTGTATGGCTGTGAAAGTTGGACCATAAGGAAGGCTGAGCGCCAAAGAATTGAGGCCTTTGAACTCTGGTGCTGGAGAAGACTCCTGTGAGTCCCTTGGACTGCAAGGCGATCAAACCAATCAGTCCTAGAGGAGATCAACCCTGACTGCTCTTTAGAAGGCCAGATCCTGAAGATGAAACTCAAATACTTTGGCCACCTAATGAGAAGGAAGGACTCACTGGAGCTAAAATGTTCCCTGGATCCTCGGACAAATGTTGGAAGTGCAATTCGGTCAGGGGTACTTTTTTTCACCAGTGGTGGACCTGCCTTCAGATCTGGAAGTTTTGGGAAAAGATTCAAAAATGGTTGAACGAGATAACAGGTGCAAGTTTCCCCCTAATTCGAGATTCTTATTTATTCAGAATCAAACTAAAAGACGTGGGCAAGCAAGATTGGCACCTATTCATCCATATTACAACAGCAGCGAGAATGGCACTTGCCCAGCAATGAAAAAACGCAAATACACCATCAGATCAACTTATAATAAATAAGATATTGAATTGTGCCGAATTGGACAAATTAACGTATATCCTAAGGGAGAAAAAAGAATCCATATACTACAGTAACTGGGAACACTGGTATATATGGCTAAAGAAGAGGACAAACATAGAGTAAACAATATAGTATCACATATATGCTTAGTCATAATTAGATAGCGTTTGTTTTTTAAAATAGTCAATGTTATCTGAACAAAAAGATTTACCGGGATGTAAATATGAATAGGTATCTGGGGGATCGATACGACCCCCGGTTAGTCCTTATATGTGGTTGTCTTTATGTGTTGTCTTGTGTACCCATATATAACCCATATCTGTTTGATAATTACATTATATGTTTTTTTATTTGTAAATAATTAATAAAGATTAATTTGGAAAAAAAAAAGAAGGAAGGACTCACTGGAGAAGAGCCTAATGCTGGGAACGATTGAGGGCAAAAGAAGAAGGAAACGGCAGGGAACGAGGTGGCTGGATGGATTCACTGAAGCAGTTGGCGTGATCTTAAATGGACTCTGGGGGATGGTAGAGGGCAGGAAGCCCTGGAGGAACGTTGTCCATGGTGTCGCGATGGGCCAGACATGACTTCGCAACTAATAACAACAACGTATGCAATATTATTTATTAAATTTATAGCCTGGGTTTCTTTCAGGAACTTAAGACGGAATCCAGGGTATTTTGGGGCAGCAGTTCCTATAGTAGGTTGGTCTGGGAGAAAAGTTACCCAGAAATGCCTGGGTAAGCTCCCAGTCCTACTCTGACACTGGCTATCGATAGTAAGATCTCACACATACCTGCACAGCTCACCTGGAGAGCATTTCCCATTCTCTGCACATACCTGTATGGACCACGAACTTCCTGAACCAAAATTCTTTTCTGCTTTTCCATGGAAGACATCTATAAGACTCCAGTCCAGGTATTCTCCCACTTCCATCTCAGTGTCAAGTTCTCATCTGAAGATCTTCACCTCTGGGACTTCTGAGCAGAAACCATCTGTTTTGAGCTGCTCCATTGCTTAGCATTGTAGGAAGTTAGCACCCACCCCTCTCCTAGAAAAATGAAAAAAATTAGGAAATATTAAAAGGGCAGAATATTTCCCTAAAAGGGAGGCAGAAACTCAGCCCCCCCCACACCTTTGTTAATGGGCTATTAAGGCCTGAGCCAGTCCATTCTACATAACAAAGATCTACCTCCATCAGGCAGAGACATTTAATTGCCCTTCATTGCATCACCCAGCAAGGTTCAACCAAACGTAGCACACAGACAACCTACAAAGCTAGCCATGACCTCTGACAGCAACCAATCAGGATACTCTTCCTGTGCCCCAGGAAGTTCAAAGCCAGAGAGGGTATAAAACCCAGGGACTCTCAGCGTCTCTTCCCTTTTTTTCGCCCAAGTTCTCCAAGGCATGTGATCCTGTTCATCAATAAACCTTTCGAAGCAACTTCCATGAATCCAGTGTCTTTTTCCCCACTTGGAACTGAACCCAGAAGGATATTTCTTCCAACAGCATAATGCAAGCATTCACAATACAGCAAACACTTCAGGGCAAATGCAGGGAAAAGTGTATCCTGTAATTCAGTTCTTGCACAGTCAGTTAATAATAAAATTAAATAGCTGCTCTCTCTTATGCTCCCCCTAAAATGTCATCGTCCAGACCCCTCCGGTTGTGAGAAGCGTTTCTGACAAGATGGCTTGTTCCTTTCCTCCCTCGCCCCTCCCTCAAATGTGCACACTTACACGCTTGCTCACCTGGAAATAATTGTTGTGTATGGTATTTATCAAGGTGCAGTGAGCAGAAACCTGCAAGTTATCAACTTCTCTACCTTCCCAATTGAAAATGGAGTTATCCTAATGCTAACAGGGCATTTAAATATGTGACTTCTCTTTATAGCTTTCCTTCCTTTCCTCTCGTAAATTGTGTTCCTGCTTGCTTCTGTAGAGGGCGAGGAAGAGACGCTGTGAACATATGTTGAGGGTGGGAGGCTTGCTAAATTCCTGATCTTTGCAGGAGGTGGCTTGCTATTTATAGTGGCCACAGGGTGAAGCTTTGATAAACTTCCTCATTTTCTTAAATGGGCTGCTTGGTGGGGGTTTTTTTTTAAGCGCTTGTGTTCCTGTTAGGTGTTTTTCTTGTGTCCTGAGGTAGAATGTCTGCTTCTTAGAATCCTGTGCTTCCTCATAGAATAGAATAGAATAGAATAGAATAGAATAGAATAGAATAGAATAGAATTCTTTATTGGCCAAATGTGATTGGACACACAAGGAATTTGTCATTGGTGCATAAGCTCTCAGTGTACATAAAAAGAAAAGATACATTCGTCAAGAATCAGAAGGTACAACACTTAATGGTAGTCATAGGGTACAAGTAAGCAATCAAATCATACTAGGAAACAATCAATATAAATCGTAAGGATACAGCAACAAGTTACAGTCATACAGTCATAAGTGGGAGGAGATGGGTGATAGGAACGATGAGAAGATTAATAGTAATAGTAATGCAGACTTAGTGAACAGTTTGACAGTGTTAGAGAATTATTTGTTTAGCAGAGCAATGGCGTTCGGGAAAAAACTGTTCTTGTGTCTAGTTGTTCCGGTGTGCTCTATAATGTCGTTTTGAGGGTAGGAGTTGAAATAATTTATGTCCAGGATGTGAGGGGTCTGTAAATATTTTCACAGTCCTCTTTTTGACTCGTGCAGTATACAGGTCCTCAATGGAAGGCAGGCTGGTAGTAATTGGTGTTTTTTTTTTTGCAGTTCTAATTATCCTTTGAAGTCTGTGTCTGTCTTGTTGAGTTGCAGAACCAAACCAGACAGTTATAGAGGTGCAGATGACAAACTCAATCATTTCTCTGTAGAAGTGGATCAGCAGCTCCTTGGGCAGTTTGAGCTTCCTGAGTTGGTGCAAAAAGAACATTCTTTGTTGTGCTTTTTTGATGACGTTTTTGATATTAGGTGTCCATTTTAGGTCTTGAGCTATGATAGAACCTAAAAATTTGAAGGTCTCTACTGTTGATACTGTGTTGTCTAAGAGGTGGTAGTATGGGAGGGTTTCTCCTAAAGTCTATCACCATTTCTACGGTTTTGAGTGAGTTCAGTTCCAGATTGTTCTGGTCGCACCATGAGGCTAGTTGTTCAACTTCCTGTCTGTATGCGGATTCATGACTGTCGGAAGTGGCTGTGTGTGTCTGTAAGAGGAGGTGTCCTCTGATTTATTATGTAACATAAATACAATATAATACAATATACTAACATAGTAAGAGGTGTCTTGTAGCTCTCAGTTTGTCAACTTCCATCGGTTATCTCTTACACGTATAATTACATAATTGTTACAGGTGTTACAGGTGTTATTCCTAAATCTTTTTTCCTGTCACATCCAATGTTACCCATTAGAGGTCTGTAAATAACCTGTTTGTAATTACAGCGCAGTACACTTTGTACAATACAATAAATGCACTTTGAAGTGATCCTTCCATTATCTAGTAGGCCTAAGTTGATGATACTTACCAATGAGCTATTTTTATCAAGGAAACAATGATAACCTTAGGATAGCTTAGAGCATATTTATATCTTAGCAATATGGAACTTATTTTTAAAAGTATAATATAAGTTGATGTCATTCTCCTTTTTTTTAAAAAAATTCACAGAGAGGATCCAAATTGGCCTGTGCCTAAACTAGGACCTTTTGGTGCCATGACATCAGGTAAGTTTGACTTCCTTTTTGTTCTGAAATGCTAAGAAAAACAGCTGTAAGTATATGTCAATCAGTATATTCATCTGCACAACTACTAGAAGACATTTCTCCTTTCTGACCTTAGATATTGTATGTATGTTACATCATTCATGACGAATACATAAAGACTTTCTTATTTTGAATAGTAAGAAAACACAGCTGGGGGAAGGTGCTTCTATGCACAGCTGTTTCGGCCAGAGATTTCTGTTACTACAATGGCACCTCAAGTGGGAAACAGCAGTCTGTATTTCACTGATATAAAGCCAGATGTAACATAGGGGAACAGCAGTCAAAAGGAGATCATTTTCAATAGGAAACTGGAATAGGCCACAAATTCAACTTAAAGGCGCAGTTCAGAAGCCCATTGCAGATCTACCCTGTTTCCCCAAAAATAAGACATCCCCTGATAATAAGCCCAATCGGGCTTTTGAGCGCATGCGTTAAAATAAGCCCCCCTGAAAATAAGCCCTCCCCGAAAGTATTTAAACGCATGCACAGCCGTTCCTCACCATTTCCTCTGGTTAGGATTAGGGAGACAGAGCTGGAAATCAGGTAAGACAGCAAGAGGAACCCCATCTTGTTCCACACACCCCAAAATAATAAGACCTCCCCGAAAATAAGGCCAAGTGCTTATTTCAGGGTTCAAAAAAATATAAGACAGGGTCTTATTTTCGGGAAAACACAGTAAGTCTTCTGGCTGATTCTCCAATCCCCAGTCTCAGGGTTATAACCAGAGGTGGGAGTCACATACTGTAACAATTGAACAATCCGACTGCCCAGCACCGGAAATGTGAGTGCGCACATGTGTGTGGCATCAAAAAACACAGCAATTTGCTCGCTCGCACGCACCATCCGCATATGCGTGCGGTATCAAAAAACAGAGCAATATAGGACGGGATTGCGTCGGTCGCAACTACTGGTTCGCCTGAACCGGTCTGAACCGGTAGCAGCCTACCACTGCTTATAACCTCAGAGCTGGGGACCCAGGGTAAAAACGAGGCATCCCATTGACTTCCTAAACTGTTTCCAATGCCATAGAAAGTCTGATTTTAAAAATAGTATAAAGAAATGTCCTGGGGAGAAAGAGAGAGACTCAGCATCTCTTCTTCTTTGTCTCCACTCTTCCAGGTGGACCCGGCAGCTATTAAGGTCCTCAGTGGGTTTGTCCAGGACAACAGCTTTGCCCAGCCAGCATTTTTACAAATGTGTACACCATAGAAAGTCATTCAGCCCCTTTATTGCTTTGAGGTATTGTGAGTTAATGTTGCTATGGAACCGAAAATAAAGGTAGTGCTAAAAACATTCAACAAATGTAGTTACAGTTAGGTGCTCCATTAGCAAGTTTAATAAAGGGCATACAGTATTAGGGAGAGAAATCAAGCTGTCAGCATGCAAGAGAATGTTAGAAATTGCTAGTTCCCAACTGAACAACACTAAAGATGAAAGATCTGTTAATTATTATGCACAGTGTGGTAAATATTTAGCTCATTAGTGGACCAGGGGCTGTTACGGTGATTTCACTAACCGTTTCCCATCTTGGTAAGAAGGGTCAAACTTATCCTTACTTAGAATTTCTTTTCTGATAAAACAATTTGTTTGCTGAAAACCATTGCTATTGTTTGAACTCCTTGCAGGAGTTTGATTTTTAATGCATTTTAATGCAAATGAACTGAGAAATACGGTTGAACAGTATAGTCTTGAAAATATAATAAATGATAAACCACTGTTCTGTTAAAAGGAACACTGGAAGAACGATGAATGAAAATTCTTTAAAAATTGTTTTGTTTAATGAACATTTTGCACAGTTGATTCATCTGAGTAATGTGTATAATGGCTAGAATATCTATTTGCAGAGATACGTAATAAAAATTACAAAGCAGAGTGAGTCAAAAGATAGCATCCTCCTAAACAAGAAAAGTTGGAAGTTTTAACCCATTGGTAGAATACAGATAATCCTCTCTTAATTGGGACTGGCGACTCCGTCACTAAGCAACATAGTCATGAAACATGTTGTCACGTGACTACACTGACTTATGATAGTAATTGTGGCAGTTCCAGTTGCCATTGTTAAGTGAATCCTGTGTGGGTTCCTTATTTGTGTAGTTGTTATTTGCAACTCCTGTTGCCTTCCTCAAGTTCCTCATTGACTTTGCTTGTCAAAAGCTAGCAGTGAAGGTTGCAGATGATTGCAGTTCGCTGCAACCATTGTAACTGTGAACTAGTTGCCAAATGCCTGAGTTGCAAGGGACTGCAGGGATACTGTAATGGCTGCAACTGTGAGGACTGGTCATAAAATTTCCTCATTCAGTGCTGTTGGAATTTTGAATGGTTACTGAATAAGTGATCACTGAATGAGGGCTACCTGTCTGCATCAATATCTACATCAGTGAGGGGATGGATGCGGAACATCAAATTTGCAGAAGACACCTGTTTCATGTCGTTTAATAAAAATGCAGTTAAAATGCTGTACAAGCCATCATTGAGAACACACATATACCCCGCCCCCGAGGAACAGGAAGTGCCTCATAGGAACAGATAGAGGTACATCCTAGAGAGGCAGGAAATGCATCACAAAACAATGGAGATGAATGCTAGAGAAGAATAAAGCTGCATACAAGGTGAACATAACACCTGTAATATCTTCCCTTTTTCATACTAACAACAAACAACATTGTAGAAGAGTACATATAACAAGAACAGATAGAGGTACATCCTAGAGAAGCAGGAAATGCATCACAGAACAATGGAGTTGAATGATAGAGAAGAATAAAGTGGCATACAAGGCCGACATAATGCCTGTAACACCACCAAGCTGGTAGGAATAGTCAACATTCCAGAAGATCAGCTTAAGATACAGAAGGATCTTAAATACTAGGCATTATCGAACAAAAATGAAATTCAGTGGTGAGAAAAGTAAGTTTCTACATTTAGGCTAGAAAAATCAGATGTACAGGTATAGAATAGGTGGTACTTGGCTCAATAGTAATAACTACGAGAGGGATCTTGGAGTCCTAATGGACAGTCACTTAAGTATGAGCCAGCAGTGTGCTGCAGCTGCCAAAAAAGCCAATGCAGTCCTAGGTTGCATTAGCAGAGGGATAAAATCAAGAACACATGAAGTGTTACTAGCATCTTATAAATGCCTTGGTAAGAGCACACTTGAAATACTGCATTCGCTTTTGATCGCCACAATATAAAAAAGATGTTAAGACTTTGGGAATAGTGTAGGGAAGTGCAACAAAGTTGATTAGGGGGCTAGAGACTAAAACATGAAGAATAGTAGCAGGAATTGGATATGTCTAGTTTAATGAAAAGAAGGACGAGGGGAGATATGATAGCAGTGTTTCAATATCTCAGGGGCTGCCAGAAAGAAGAGGGAGTCAAGCTATTCTCCAAAGCACCTGAGGGCAGGACAAGAAGCAACGGGTGGAGAGAATCAAGGAGAGAAGCAACTTAGAACTAAGGAGAAATTTCGAACAATTAATCAGTGGAACAACTTGCCTCCAGACGTTGCGAATGCTCCAACACTGGAAGTTTTTAAGAAGATGTTGGACAACCATTTGTTTGAAATGGTATAGGGTGTCCTGCCTAAGCAGGGGTTGGACTAGAAGACCTCCAAGGTCCCTTTCAAGTCTGTTATTCTGTTTAGGTACCTGCTAATCTCCCTTCCCAAGGTAGAGATTTCCAGAGCACAAGTGTGGCTACCAAGAAGGCCTTTTCTCTTGTCACGTGCTCCATATGAAGCGTTTTACACCTTGCATTAGGAGCTGTCCTGTATAACAGAATTCAGATGCACAAGATGGGAAGACGTGAGTAGATCCTAATGGAATGCCAACTGAAAATGAGCAAGTAATATGCAGTAGCTAAAAAAGGCCTATGCAGTTCTGGACTGCATTATCAGAAACATAGAAGCCTTTTCTCAGGACTATAAGAAGTAATTGTAGTTTTCACTGGTTAGCCCATACTTGGGAGTTCTGCATTCAGATCATGTGGTATCGACATGCGCCCAAAAGAGGCGGGGCTTTCCCCATTCTGCCCTTCTCAACCCCATGTAGCTTTTCATGAACTTGACAGCACACTATAAGCAGCCTGATGATCTTCTGTCTGACCTCACAAAGTGAGTGAGAATATCTACAGATCTTGTTTCATGCTAACCTAAGGGTATTTTGGTTCAGGCCTTACTGACCTTTCCATACGGCATGCATAGGGTCAGATACTAATTAAGATATGGCCATAGTTGCATGGTGGATACAAGCTGCCTAGCTTCTCTTGATTGGACATTCTTAGCATGGTCATTGAACTTCCCCAGGACAAGAGGCTGGGTCACACCACAGTCACCTCTTGAGATCATTCCAGATAGACAGCTTCACAAGGGCTGTTGCTAGAGAGCAAGGGAGTATTGTGAACCACAGTGCTTTGCTTCATCTTGCTCTCCCAGCCATAGCAATAGGACTGAAGACTGAAATTCCACATTGGCAGAATTTTGGATGGCGCATTGAGGCCCTTCTTCCACTTCCTTGTTGAGCCACAGAGAAACCTGGCAGACAGACAGAGGTGAGAGACATTAACTTTGTCTAGTTCCCTCTTCAGGCCTCTGTGTTCCGTGCCAAGTAAGCATTTTTATTCAGGACTAGCTGATAACGTGGCGTTGCCCGGGTATTTATGTATCCCAACCCTGTATTAGACAGGAAGAGCAACTTCACCCTGAGCCCTGATTTAAATTAGTTAAAAATGTTTTTCCTGTGCCCAGAAACGTCAAGTAAAATGATACCACGTTGTTGTTTTACTAGCGGATCCACGATCATTTGGTATGCTTTTGTCTGATTTTGATTTAGAAGTGGCTTCTTGTCCCTGATATATGTACTAAGCTGTTCGACATTATAGTTCTTTTCTCGTATGTAATCTGTGTGATTACATGAACGTATGTTGTGTCGGTCTCGTAGTGGTGCAGGCAGGCCAAGTTGTTGTAATGTTTTATTGAACATCAAAGCCTTGTTGAAAATGTCCGGACCAAACGTAATTTCTAATGTTGGATTTTCCCCTTTACCAGAGGGAGCCTCCTTGTGGAGTACTGTGAAGCCATTACCATGGTAACTCCACTGTTCTGTACAGTAGAAGCCATTTTAAGGCAGTGCAGTAGAAGCCATTTTAAGGCACAACAGGCTGTATCTTAACAGAACACACACCCCGAGGTGTCTTACCCCCACGGTATTTCTCTCCAGAGAGTAAGTCATCTGTATACCAAGTTTGGTTGAAATTGCTCAAGGCGTTCCAGAGTTATGCTCGAACGCGCACACACACACACACACACACACACACACACACATTTTTTAATATATAGATTAAGATTTGGATGAGACGCTATTTTACCAGCAACTCCAGCTGACATGCATTGTAGAATACAGAAGACATTTTTCTTGTCATCGTCATTTCTTCTGTCAGGCTGAAAATTGATAAAAGGTGAGACTTCTCACCTTTTATCCACTCTGCTCCATTTCTACTAGTAATCTTAAGAATTGCTCCCAGAGTGTTTCCTGTTCCTTTCTTCCTGCGATACGTTCTTCCAAATCAGATGCACTTGAAATAGATGCCCACACTTTCAGAACTGTCTGCTGTCATATGTATATACTCTCCCATACCAATGGTGAAATCCAGCTGGATCTATCCAGCTCGCTCGAACCGGTAGCGCCGGCGGCGGGAGGCTCTGCCCACCTGCTGGGACGTCATTACGTCCTGTTTTTTACCCACTGTGCATGCACAGAAGGGGCGTGCGGGCGCTCACATTCCCAAACCGGTAGCAAAGATCAGTGCATTTCACCGCTGTCCCATACATACATAAAATGGGCACCTTGGCTTTAATGGCAGCCTGATCCGCAGTGCTATCAGAAGTCTTGAGTCAACCATGATGGGGTAACAAGAAAAAGAAAATCTGATTCAGCACCAGGAAGCCCAAGTGTTGGCATTGGTCAACCTAGGACCCCAAAAGCTAGGTTATCTGATAGAAAAGAGTTTTGGAGATGGAACCAGATGGACAAATGATAAGTTTTTCCTCTCATCAAGTCTCCTCCCAGAGGATTGCAAACTTTCCTTTTTCTTAGAACCTCTGTTCCACACTCTTCAGCAGCCACCTTAAGGTTCATTGTTACATCTGTGAACAAATTGTCACCAAATCCTCATGTAGATTGGCTTCTGTATCACAGAATGTCCCAAGACTTCCTTATTTCGAGAAACAATGTTATTATACTGAAGTTATCTGTGTATGCACTTGTTAAATGGACTTGGCATTTGGTGGACTGGATCACAATTTGTTGTCTGCTTCCTTTTTCCTCTGACAGGTTTTTCCTGCCAATTTTTGGGCCAAGTTTTAACTTTTGCTGTATCTTTTTCACGATAATAAAAATGTTTAACACCAGCAATGAATACATTCATTAGGGTTTCAATAGGGTTTCCTTCCTAAGCAGGGGGTTGGACTAGAAGACCTCCAAAGTCCCTTCCAACTCTGTTATTCTATTCTATTCTATGGTATGTATAAATATTAAGCAGGAACATGACATTTAGTTTAGAATTACCCCTCTCTCTAGAATGACAGCTACATAAACTTCTCTTACCCAGATTTTGGCATTTTTGCTGTTTTTTTTCCTGCAGTGGGTACAGTTGTTTAGCTGTTTTACTAACCCGATGTAACCATATTGTGAGAATATTATACTGATCATATCTGCCAATTTTACAGAAACCGAAGAAGCTGATGTTGTCAATGGACTAGCACTGGATATAAATCAACATGAGAAAGGTTTGTGGAATCAAAACAAAGATATTCCCAGTAGCAGTTGCCGGTTTTTTTGGTATAATTATATGCACAACGTTTATATATGCATAATTAAACTCCCAGGAAAAAGTGAATACTAATTCCTCAAAGTTAAGAAAAAAAATGAGTGCAGGCGAAGTGTTCTTCAACTCATCCATCATTTCTGACATATCTGTGAAGTTTTTGTTGCAATTTGTGTGATAGCCCCATGTCCCATTCTTCCCAGTCTTCTTCTCAGCTCTGAGTTCCGATATCAGCATAGGTCCAACCCAGTGATGGGTTTCAAATTTTTTTACTACCGGTTCTGTGGGTATGGCTTGGTGGGCATGGCATGGCATGGCTTGGTGGGCGTGACAGGGAAAGGATACTGTAAAATCTCCATTCCCTTCCAACTCCAGAGGAAGGTTACTATAAAATCTCCATTCTCTCCCCAATCCAGGGGAAGGTTACTGCAAATTCCCCATTTCCTCCCGATCATCTGGGATTCAGGAGGCAGAGAATAGATGGGGGCGGGGCCAGTCAGAGGTGGTATTTACTGGTTCTCTGAACTACTCAAAATTACCGCTACCGGTTCTCCAGAACTGGTCAGAACCTGCTGAAACCCACCTCCGGTCCAACCTTGCTTAGCTTTTCAAGATCAGCCAAAGTCATCTAGCTGTCACATCAAATTCAAGGTACAGTTTGCCATTGCTGGATGGAGCAATTGTCCTGCTTGCATGGAATCACTGATGGGCAGCTCTGTAAAGAATAGTCAGATACCATAAATAAATGGATAGACAGATCAAAGCAAAACTGAATGGAAAATCCATCAGTTAAAAGGCTATGTAGAGGAAGAACTGCAGTATTGTTGCAATGGAATGTGAGAAAAGGGAAGATCAACCAGTGGGGAAAATAGATATTGGCACTGTTAGAATTACCTTATTTTATTTTTAGCTCATTGTCTAGCAATTAGGTATGTGTAAAATCTAGTGATTCATCTGGATCATGCTAGTCCACCTCTTCTGGGGAGGTCAGGCAGCTTTTCAGAAGTTCTTCTCTGCTGGAAACTTTGATGCTTGGGATGAAACAGGCCTGCTTTTGTTAGTAAAGAACTTCAAACTTTTATCTGTTTATCTATTCTACCCAGATGGGTTTTTTTGGACCTTTACTGTGTGCAAAGTTTAATACAGTGACTGACTGCCTAGAAGGATGGGAAATCAAAAGAGATATGGGATGTTTAATTTGATAGTATTTTAAGATGAATTCCATATTAAAACTATGAAAATTTGTGAATATTTGTGCCACAATACCACAGTCCTGGAGTCAGGGGTGGGCTGCTGGGGGTTCACAGGGGTTCGGGAGAACCGCTAGCTAAAATTCTGTGCAGTTCGAAGAACCCCCAAATCCCACTCCTGGCTGGCCCCGCCCACCCCACCCCTCCCCTCCCAGGAGTCCCCATAATGCTGGTTTTGGATGCAGGTAAGTGCAGGATGCACGTGGAGGCTCAGGCAGGATGAAAAATGGGCCTACGTTTCTGGCCTCCAGAGGGCCTCCAGAGCTGGGGAGGGCAAAAACAGCCCCCCCCCTGTGGTGCAGGAGCCAACTAGGCCACACCCACCATGGCCACACCCACCCAGCAACCAGACAGAGAACCCCTTGCTAAAATTTTCGAAGCCACCCCTGCCTGTAGTATGGTGGTGCAAAATACTGTTGGAATCACAAGTAATTGTTCAATGCATATTAGGTGGATGAGGCTTATGAGTTGATGGTACTTTCAGGTGGATCCCACAGGGTAAAATTGAAGATCCATAAGGAATTGAATGGATTCAATTTTATCCACATTTTAAGTCTGGTTTGGCTTGGACTATAGAAAAGCTGAGTAGTTAAAAAATGCATTGGACATATGGCAATAAGTAAGCATAACTTAAAAATTGACAAAAGAGACTAGAAATAAATATTATATGGGGAAATATTCAAAAGTTTTTGAATTTAATATTTTTCAAGTTTAAAATGCCTTGTTTTAAGATTGTAATCATTGGTTTAAATTTGAAATGATTGCAGTATTTCTGAAAGTGTTCCAATCCTTGATGGAATACTTTTGATGAACTCAGAACAGCATTTTTAAACTCAAGATGGGGTAACTTGAACCCAAAAAGTTCAGATCTTAAACACAAGGTACTTGATAAGTTCATTTTTGTGCTGAAGTGCTAAAATAAAGGTGCAGGTTTACTACTTTGATTTGGGAAGTACTATTGTATTCATCCATTTAAGAAGTTCATTTGTTATTCATTACAGAGAGGTTGAAGAATGGGAAGAATTACAATCATGACTCATATTAATTGTTCTAAAATGCAGTGCAAATATTTACTTTCTAAGCATTCTTGCTTTGCTCCCCACTTTTCATAGTTTCAATATTTTGATTTATATTGGGAATTTGAGTCTTGAACTGTTGGGCTATAACTGAGGAGTCCCATATTCAAATCCTCACACAGTTAAGGTGTGTGCTTCTTGATGTTGGGTGATTACTAAGCCTCAGTCTAGCATGTCTCATAGGATTGCTATAAGGACAAGATCAGGGGTGAAATGCTCCCAGTTCGGAATGGATCGCCCGATCTGGTAGCGATGGAGGCAGGTGGTTCGGAGAACTGGGAGCAAAAATCCCTGCCCCCCCACCATACCCAGCTGAGCCGAGTGATCATCAGAGGCTCTTTTTTTATTTTTAAAAGCATATTTTCTACAACCTCTTCAGCCGAAAAAATGCTTTTAAAAGTAAAAAAAAAAAGCCTCTGATGATTGCTCGGCTCAGCTGGGATCGTCAGAGGCTTTTAAAAGCATTTTTTCTACAACCTCTTTGGCCGAAGAGGTTGTAGAAAAAATGGTTTTAAAAGTTAAAAAAAAAAAAAGTTGGCCACGCCCACTCAGTCACATTATCCCCCACCAAGCCACGCCCACAGAACCGGTAGTAATAAATTTTACATTTCACCACTGGACAAGATGGAGTCGGATAGAATGATATTGGAAGAACAGCCATCTTGAAAGAAAAGCAGAATACAAACCTGCAAAAATGCTACAGTAATCTATTTATATTACACAAACTTAAGCATGGAATGAAAAATAAATTAAGCAGAGTCGTGAATAAATCAGTTTGCTTTAAGTTAATAATGAAATAATAATTATGTATATATCACGATTTCAAATTACTTTCAGGTCTCAACAAATTCCTACCTTTCCCTCCCCCTGTAGATCAGGAATCCAGCAAAATCTGTACTGGAAAAGGAGCTGTGACCCTTTGGGCATCTCCAGCTTCTGAGAAGAGTCTCCGGGTTAGCCATCCAAAGTCTACACAAGACTTCCAGCACACCAAAAGTAAGACCCAGTCTGGGAGGTCATATCACAAAAAAGCAAAGTGATTAATTGATCCTCTGATCCTTGATTGGGTTAACAGTTAAATCCCTGGTTTAAAAAGTACAATCCCAAAATAAAGCATGTAGATTGTTAACTGAAATTTGCATGCTGGGATTGGATTGATTTAATGTTTAGCTGAATTTCAAGGATGGATTAGAGAATATAATTGCAAATGAGCAAACATTTCAAAAACACAATGCAAATTTCAGTGAAATAAAGAATCAGCACTTGGACATGAGAATAAAGTCTCAGAAATTCAAAGTGTGCATTTTAACTTTATGTAAAATACTTGAATTCATTCTTTCAGGATTAGTAAAACTCACATTAAGGTAATGTTCTAAAAGGCAACTTACATAGAAGCTCAAGTGATTCTGTTTTTATTCTACTGATCTTTTGTGGGAAGGGGAAATATCTTCTACTTGAATGGTTATGATCTCTCACTACAATGGCATTTTGTTGTGTTCTCTTAGAAAGATATATATATAATTATAGTAAACAAACTCTGAGCAAGAATATTTAAATGGGTACTGAGCAGGACGTGCCATTCTCTAGGATATTTTTGTAATCATGATGACATAGAGTCATCGCACTGTTCATTTCTGGATTAGCACTACTATACAAAGTGTAGAAAAAAGGAGTGAAGAAACTGAAGGCAGAAGATGAAGAAAGAAAATTTAATTCAATGTAGCTTACTGTATATTAGTTCCATTCACGTAACGCCTCTCCTTACTTTGTAATCTTTCAAGCTATCCTTTTTTCTTCAACATCCATTCATGTATTTGTACTTTTTTTAAAATAGAATTTTTAGTATATAGTATATAAAAATAAAAGTATGAAAAGAAAAAAGAAAGAAAACATAGAATTATGATTCCTGTGCTTATTTCTATCAGTTGCTATTTTATTCTTTTCCCTTCCTCACTGACCCAAATCATAAATCATCAATTCATAGAACATAGAATATTAGGGTTGGAAGAGACCTTGAATGTTTTCTAGTCCAACGCCCTGTTTACGCAAGAAATCCTATACCATTCTGGACAAATAGCTATCCAGTTTCTTCTTGAAAACTTCCAGTGATGGAACACTCAGTTTCTGGAGGCAAGTCTTTCCACTGTTTAATTGTTCTCACTGTCAGGAAGATTCTCCTCAGCTCTAGGTTGGATTTCCCTTCCACCTGTTATTTCTTGACCTGCCCTTGGGTGTTTTAGAGAATAATCAACCTCTTCTTCTCTATGACATCCCCTTCAGTACTGGAAGACTGCTATCAGACTAGACATACCTAGTTTTCTCATATCGTTTAGCCTACAGACCCCTTATCACCTTTCTTGCTCTTCTCTGCACTCTTTCTAAGGTCTTGACATTTTTATATCATAGGTCCCTCTCATAGTTGCTACTATTGAGCCAGGTAACATCAAGTCTATATCTCTGCATTTGGTTTTCCTGCCTATGTGTAGAACTTTGTTCACCACTGAATTGAATTTTGTTGGATACGGCTCAGTGTTCAAGTCTGTCAAGGTCTTCTGAATTGAATCTATCATTTACAGGGTTAGCTATTGCCCCCAGCTTGGTGTCATCTAAAAATGTGATGAGTTACTCTTCTATCCCCTCATTTAGATCATTTATGAAGATGTTGGAAGAACACTGGGCCTAAGACAGAACTTGAGGTACCCCACTGCATGCTTCCCTCTAGATGTAGTTCCATTGAGGACTACCCCCTGAGTGTGGTTGGTCAGCCAGTTGTGAATCCATTTGGTGGTGGTACTGTCTATTCCATATTCTGTTTTACCAAGTAGACTGTGGTCTACTTTGTCAATTAATTAAGCAATTCCATTTTCTTCCTGCTTCCTGTTACTTCCTTGCCATCTTCTCTCAAGAGTGGACCAATCATTTCCTTGACTTTTTTTTCTTCTTTTTTACATGTTGAAAGAAACATTTCTAAAATTATTTTGGGCATTTGTTGCATGTCTTAGTTCATTTTGAGCCTTAGCTTTCTTGACTTCGTCCTCACAGATTTGGGTTATTTGTTGGTAGTGTGTTTTAGTTATATGTTCCTCTTTCCATTTTTTATATTTGCCCTTTTTCCCCCCTCTCCGTTTGTCAGAGAGTTCTTTATGAAACTATGCTGGCCATATCTGGGGTCTCTTGTTTTTCTTTCTCTGTGGAATTGTGTTTGATTGGGCTTTTATAATCTCATTTTTCAGTTTCCCAAGCATCTTGAGTTGTTTTCCCCTTTAGGATTTCCATCCCTGAAATCCTTCCTAAACTATCAGTGTGTTGAAGTCAGTTCTCTTAAAGTCTAAGACTGACTTACCTTTGCCACCGGTTCGCAAATGTGAGACTGTGCGCTCTCTTGCTTCGCTTGCGCATGACATCTCTGCGCATGCACAGGACCTTCTGTGCATGTGCAGAGCATCAAAAACAGGACATCATAACATCCAGGTGGGTGGGCGGAGCCTCCTGCAGCCACCGCTATCGGTTCGCCCGAACTGGATAGAACTGGCTGAATACCACCACTGGTGTGAATGTTTAATAAATGCATTTCTTGGAATGGATTTCATATTTCCCATTTAAAGTTTAAAAATAGAAATTAACACTTCTCAGTTTTCCCTTCTTCGGTAAACATTATACCATAGTAATAATTTACTTGCTCTAATTTTTCACCATTTATGTATAACTTGCAATTGTACACTTCAATGTTTCTGTCAAGTGCAACTTCAATACATGAAGAGCAGCTTCATAATCCTTGTTGCACTATGCTCCCCAATGCTACTTTCTATTGGCTGAAAATCATTCAGGTTCTTGGCAAAGAACACTTTCATATCTCAACGAATATGGTGTTAACATTACCACAACCATTCTGTATGCATAAGTAATCGCCAAGGGGAAACACATATCCTTGTGTTACTCACTGTTCAGTGGTGAACCACCAGTATTCCATATATTCCCCTGCACTCTTTATTTCCACTATATATTACTCTTGCTATTCTTATTTTCCATGTTACTGCCCAAAGGCCCTCTTTCATAGCCTTTTCATATTTCTCTGTTATCTTTATAGACTTGCTTCTCCTATATCAGTGATGGCGAACCTATGGCACGCGTGCCGGAAGTGGCACACAGAGCCATCTCTCTGGGCATGCCAGCCGTTGCCTGTTGCTCTTCCGGGTTCCGGTGTGCACATGCGCACTGACCAGCTGGTCTTAACACGCGTGGGAGTGCTGGAAACCAGAAGAGCAGCTTCCCAGCGCGCAGGTGTGTGCGGGGAAGCTGAGCTTCCTGTTTCTGGTGTGCTCATGTGGTCAGCTGTCTTCACATGCGCATGCACGCCAGAAACTGGAAGACCAGGTGACTGGCATGCATGTGCATGCTGAAAACCGGAAGCTCAGCTTCCCGATGTGCACCTGCGTGCAGAGGAACTGCTCTTCCAGTTTCCGGCACTCCCACGCGTGTGCCCCAGGGAGCTGCTCTTCCAGTTTGTGGCATTTCCCCGTGCACATGTGCGCACGCTCATTTCGGCAACACCGTCCTATATCCCCAAAAAAGCATTCAAATTGGCAGGGTTCATTACCTTACCTTCCGTGTTGATGAAAGGGATATGTGGTGTATGTGATGATGACTCCACAGCTGAATCAATAAGCCACATTTTTCATCATTGCTCACACAAAGCAAAATTCATAACCCTTTCTTACCCTTTGGGTAGACTGATTGGAAAGTTCTTTGCTGTTTGCTTGCTGATTTCTCCACTGGCAATGTTTTTGCTAAAGTGCCATTGGTATTTGAAGACTCTGAGCACTGAAATTGGATATGTTTACTGCTTTTATCTTTTTCTAATTTATAGAGAAATATTAGAATATTATCATCAATTTCCTTCTGCAACCTTCTCCATGGGGAGTTTTTTTTTTTTTTTAAATCTCTGGTCATGAATTAATAATGTTAAAAGTCATACTCCCTGTCCTTCTGTGATGCCTTCTCATAGTTAGCAAGTATCCCTAGCAAGTCGGCTTGACCCTGCCAACTACTACATAGCTGCTGGGGACAATAACATGCTATAGCAGCTGCTGCCCATCCCATAATCATAATTCTCCCTAGGCATGTGGTAATGTAGGAAATGGATTTCTTTAATCATGGCACTGACATCCACAGTGTCCTGTTAAAGTATTTAGCCATCTGTTTCAGTTATAGTAAGGATAATAAAGAACATGTGTGGACTTCAGCTCACAGAATTCTATGCATGCATATGCATTTGTAAAATGGGAGTGGAATTTTATGCAGGCAAATGTAATTTATTTTAATTTATTCATGCATGAAAGGACAAATGAAACTTCATTCATGCACAAAAATGGATAGTGTATGGACACTATTGTCTGTTATTGTCTTTTGTCTGTTATGACCAAAGTCTGCTAAACCCTTCTGTTGTAACTTTACAACTGAATCAGTAGGCTACAGTTTTCTTTACTGCCCCCTTTATCACCCAATTCTGTTAAATCATTAACTATATGCAGAGTTAGGCAGATAGTGGTGTAAAATTCTTGCTATTAAATATTTTTTTGTTGATTTCCTTGTAGGCCAGGTGCTAAATTGGAAGCTTGATCATGGATTTGCACTTGCTGTTACGTATGATAGTATCTCAACTAATCAAGGGACATTTACCGTATTTTTCAGAATACAAGACGCTCCAGACTATAAGACGCACCTACCTTTTTTTGGTTTTTTTTCTTGAAAACAAGAAAAAAAAATCTGCCTCTGCCTCCCAGCAATTTGCCTCGTTGCAGCAAACAGCCTGCTTTAATTTCATTTTCAGCACAGCCTGATTAGCACAAGAAAAAAAGAATCTGCTTCCCAGCAATTTACCGCCGGTGCGGCAATAGGCAATGGCAATCCCTGCAGCCTGAAACAGTTGAGGGTCGGGAGGCTGATCCAACCGACAATCAACTACTTGTGCTAATCAGGCTGAGCTGAAGCTGAAACGGGCTGCTTGCAGTTTGCTGCTTGCTGCAAGGAGGTAAATTGCTGGGAGGCAGAGGCCAAAGGGTGGGGGCCAGTGGGTGGGCGTGGCTACATTCAGTGTATAAGACGCACTCAATTTTTCACCCCCTTTTAGGGGGGGAAAAGTATGTCTTTTACTCTGAAAAATATGGTATATTATCCTCACAAAAATCCACTCAGGGTTTCTCTCTTCTTTCCTCTCTCCTTCTTCTTTATGCTTCTTTCATATTCCATTTCCAACTTCCCTAGGGAGAAGAGCTTAGGGGCCACAGGTGCCTCCTTCTCTGTCCCCCTAACCCAAGTTGTGCTTTTCATGTCCTGTCCCAAATCAACAGCAACATTGGCATTTACTGATGACTGCCATTGACAAATCCCTGAAAACAGCTTCTGTAAGGCAGGGGTGTCAAACTGAAGGCTTGGGGGGCCAGATCTGGCCCACAGGGTGCTTAGATCTGGCCCGCGGTGCCACCCTGGATACAGCAAAGGATTGGCCCGCGGTGCCTCTGCCAGCAAAAACAGAGCGGGCCTCCCGAGCTCCATTTTTGCTGGCAGAGGGTTGCAGGAACCCATTGCAGCCAAAAACGGAGCTTGGGAGCCCATTTTCACTAGCAGAGTACTCATGCCCCCAACACAAAGAGGAGCTGCTACCCCACCCTGGCCACGTCCAGCGTGCCCCTCCCCGAGGTCAAACACAACCCTGATGCGGCCCTCAATGAAATCGAGTTTGATACCCCTGCTGTAAGGTTTAAAGTAAGAGAAAATGGAAATGAAAAACGGTGTAAATCTAATACCTACAGACTAATTATATTAGTATATTCAGTTTAGCCATATTTTGTTTTTTAACCGATCAGTTTATCTTCCAAAATGTATGTTTTCATCCTTGCCCCCCCCCCTTCCTTAATGGTTTGGAACAATTTATCTTAAGGAAGCAATTACTGGGCAACAGAACAACAGTAAAAAATAAATAAAATAAAATAAAAATAGTACAGTAAATAAATAGTAATTGTATATTAATAAAGTACTGCCTTTACTACTAAAGTTTTCATGACCTTCTAAACTTTTTGGAAGAATCCAATTAATATTGGGGGAATGAAGAAGGTGTGTTTATTTAAGCTGTAAATTAGTACTATTTGTGCTCTGCTCTCTTATTCTCTCTATGTGTGTCCTTTTGGCCTTTGACTATTTTTGAGGGCATGACATAAAATTAACTGTTGGTCAGTGGTCCAGAAAAGTCAATCATGTCTGATTTTTCAGGTTCTACAATATTACTATGCAGCTTCCTCCTTCATGCTGCTGCTGGTTGGCCTTTCCCCCCCCATGCTCTTTCTATACATTTCCAGCAGCCCAAAAGTAATATTTCCAACCATGGAAATGGGCTTCTTGTGCTTTATATTCTTAGTTGTGTTTTGAAAACTGTGCTGCTGAGCTAAGAAGATTATTTTTCTCATACTTTGAGAAGGGTGGGAAAGATAAGCGGTGCCAAAATCATCAAATACAGAAAAATGTCAGAAGGATCTAAAAAACAAACAACCAAAAAAAAAAAAAGAGAACCATAAACTTGCCTGAAATCTAGCTAAGAAATCTGCAATGCTGTGATAATATTTCTAGCGACAAAAAAAAGAAGAGTTTGTAAGATTTCACTGTTTATGATTTCAGAGCAGTATAAACAAGGCAAGCATTTAAAGCGTTAACACTAGGCTTCGTGTTCTTGCTGCGGCTCCACAAAGATAGCATGTGATATATCGGTGCTTTTAAATGCACTTGCTTGTTTGTGGCTCTCAATCATCTTATCTGGCAAGGCTAATGAAGGACAGATACATTTTCCGCTCCCGGGCCTGCATCATAGGTTAAATATTGAAAATCTTCCATTTGCAATCATGTGTGGCATTTGAAATTCTTACTGAGAACTCTGGCTGCCTTTTTGTCCGCTAGAATGAAATGTCAGTGAACAATTGTTTCTTCACTACGCTGAACTATGGCTTTGTGTTTGTAAAGGTCAGGCGTTGTAAGGAGTCATGTTTCTATGGGAATTAGACAGAAAGTGTTCCATGCGCAAAATGAAGTAGTCCACTTTTCTGCTCTTCTCTGCGTGTATTAAAATATGATGTCTTTTCCTCCTTTCTTATTCTCTCTGATACTTGTCACCAGTTCATTCAGCCGAACAGCAAGAAGAAACCAACCAACCAGGTAATTATTTAAGGCTTCAGTTTTTTTACTATTTCCTCAAAAAAATAAATAAATCTGATGTTTATGCAAGCATAAATGTTCACCGTTAAGTATTGTTTAAATAATCCGAAAGTCTTCATTTTGCAGATGGCTGGAGAAGACCTTCTGGTGTTGACTCAAATAGGGAGATTCTGTCTGTGAAGGATTACTGGAGTGTGAGACCGAACCTCTTGGAGAGCAAGCCACGCGTAAGTAGCTAACAACTCAAAGCCTAGATGGGTGTGATTAATGAGGGATGCGTGTGTCTTAGATGGACCCCTGACTTGTAATTTTAGTAATTTGTATTTACACCCAAAGAATATTACTTTTTGAAATGGGTATCTTTAAAAAAAAAATGAACAAAGTTGTTTCTCAGTTGGTTAGTTTTCATGATTTAGTGTTTCCAAAATTATTTATTCAGTTGTTGCAGTGGTGGGTTGCTATCAGTTCGCTCCAGATTGGGCGAACCGGTAGTGGCGGTGGCGGGAGGCTCCGCCCACCCACCCGGATGCTTCTGCGCTTGCGCAAACGTTTCTGTGTATGCACAGAAGCGTTGCGCAAGTATGCGCGCACCCACGAGAGAACCGGTAGCAACAGGATTTGCAACCCACTACTGAGTTGTTTCATCAGGCATGAACTCAGGCATGAAATCCTTCTGTACTTGGTCCGCTGTATTCTAGGTTCGCCTGGAATACAGAAAAGAATAAACTTGGAATCTTGATTATGATTTGCCTACTTTCCAAAATATGCCTTCTGAGAATCATAATCTTAATCATCATAATAACATAGAGGAGGGCCTCTTCCTTCCCTTTTTTCTCTCCCAGTCGTTAACCTTCTTCTGGTCTAATTACACTGTTATTGTGATCAAGTCTATATAATTTGCTTCTAAATCTGAGAGTTTTGATATCGGAAAGATTCATTGTAAAAATAAATTCTAACAAGATTTACTTCACTGCCGTGTAAGAAGCGGCAGATAATTCCGTGGTTCTGTGTCCAATTCTATTTAAATATTCTTTACATTTTTTTCTTAGAGCCTCAATTTCTCTTGGTTTGTTTGGTTTTGGCAATAAAAGTATGAATTTATTACATAGTAATGAAAAAATAGCTTTAACTGAATGCAATTTTGTTTTAGATTATTTAGGAGAAACCCATAGTTTATCACATTCGGATATGAGATTCACATTTAATCAGATACATTTTGTTAATGCATCCTTGGTGTTTTCAGCTAGTTGTTATGAAAGCATATTGCACTCTATTTTATATAGAATTCTAGGGTTTGAAGAGACCCTGGTGCAATCCATCTAGGGGTAGAATTCTCAGGCCATCTTAGACAAATGGCTGTCAAACCTTTGCTTGAAAACCTGGTTGCAGCACCCCTGACTCCAAGGCAGGCTATTCCACTGTTTTTAATAGGGTCAGGAAATTCCTCCTTAGGTCACATTTAGACGACTGTCCTTAAAACTTCTTGTTGTATTCTTGGGCACTATTGAGATTATATCCCCAACTTCTTTCCTATGATAGCCTTTGAGTGTCTCCCCTTCGCTTTTTTTTTTTTAGCTCAACATAACTAGTTCCTTTAACTCTTCTTCGTGGGATTTGGCCTCTAAGATTACTATTTTTCATGTCCTTCTCTACACTTTCTAGTTTCTCATCAAATTTCGTATTTTGTGGAAACCCCAAGGACTCCTTTGCAAATTGAGCACACAAAGCCCCTAGGGCAGTGATGGTTAACCTTTTTGGTGCTGAGTGCCCAAAGCGTGCGCGTATGCGCGCGAATGCACATGCACATGCCAGAACCCCCCAAATTCAATGCAAGCACTGCCTGCGCATGCGCATGCGCCCTGCCCCCGTGCCCCATTTTGGCTTCCAGGTTGGTGCAGGAGGCTTTCCAGGCCCAAAACCAGGTGCGGGAGGGCCATGCTAGCCCCCCCCCGGTGCCCCGTTTTGGGCCTGGAAAGCCTCCTGCAGCTCTGCACTTGGGCCCTCCAGCTGGCCAGCGGGAGGCACATGCACATGCACGGTGGAGCTGGGCTGGGGTGACAGCTGGCGTGCCCTCAGAGAGGGCTCTGTGTGCCACCTGTGGCACGTGTGCCATAGGTTCACCATCACGGCCCTAGGGCCTAGACTGACCCTGGGAATATGATTTTTTTAAAAAACACAAAAAAACACCAAATGTTTCTCAGGAGCATACAGGACAGGAGATTCAACAAAGAACATAGTTTTATTTCTAATACTTCTTTCTATTTTAGATAAGGGTCAATGTAGCGGCTGGCACAAGGTGCCATTATGTGAGGATAGAGGGTAATTTAAGTTGCTCTGTTGATTGATTATGATATTTGAGAGCTATGTGAGAAGTTGTCATCTATGTAAACTGTGCTACTTTGAAAAAAGGTTCCTCTCATCAGCAGGTCTTTCCTTGAGGTAGGATCTTTGAATGTCCTGCACCTCTCTACTGTTATTATCTCAAGGTATTGTCTCCCACAGGCTGCCACTTCCTCTCCTACCACCTCAGTTCAAACTGAGATTATAACAGGGCCTTTCCAACAGATTCAGCCAGGCAGAGAAGAAGTCAGCCCAACTACATCACCGGCACCTCACCGCCATTTTGACCAAGGTTTAGAAATTTCAAACAACGTGTCTCCTGGTTTCCTTCTGGCCCTTCCAACGTTAGATGATTTCATTCCCCCTCACCTCCAGAAAATTTCCAACCACCAGCACCCATTGTTTTCACCTCAGTCTGCACTGCACACTCACTCAAAGTTACCTTCACTCTCATCACCACCTCCTCTACTGATCCCTCCAGCCACAGAAACCTCAAGCAGCATTTTGGAGGCTGAAAGGACAGGAATGGTCTTTCAAACAGTAAGCTTTACTACACCCATGCTGAGTCTACTGCTAAATAAGTATATACCAAAGTTGAAATCACCTTTCACTGACATACTAAACCTGGACTTTCCGCACTTTTTGATAGTGGCATGAATTTTTGCTTCTGTTCTGTGGCATGTATATTGTTTGTCTCTTCTGACCTCAAAACTCTTCCCTTGTATAATATGCCATTGTGTTCTTTTCTCTTTTTTTCATATTTGAAAACTCTACGTGTAGCTGTAATCAGCATGTTACAGCTAAAATACATGATAGAAGAAGCCTTAGATGAGGAGCATCTGGATTAATTGTCCATGAGGTTTTCCGCATATCCTCAGGAGGTCCTTCTCTACAGGGAAGGCACCTTTTTCCATGGACATCATAAAGTGTTACATCACAATCTTTCCTTCTGCACAGACAAAATAATTGAATCAGATCTGTTGCAGGAAGAGAAAAGAAATGTTTTGATTCAGAAATGGCACAGAGAAGATTTCCCTTCTCTCATGAGCTGGAGGCCAGAAATGGGCCTGTTTCTGGACTTCTGGAAGGCCCATTTTTTGCCCTCCCCAGGCTCCGGAGGCTTTCATTGAGCCTCGGAGGTGGAGAGAGAAAACAGCTCCCCCCCGGGCTCCAGAGGTCAGGAACTGACCCGTTTCTGGACTTCTGGAACTTCCGGGAGGCCCGTTTTTCACCTTCCCAGAGCCTCTGCACGGGCCCTGCACTTACCTGGCATCCAAAACGAGCCACATGAAGACTCCTGGGAGGGGCAGGGCGGGGCAGGCGTGACCAGCCAGTCTTGCAACTACCGGTTTGGCGAACCAGATGTAAAATTAGCATCCGGTTCGTCTGAATCGGTCTGAACTGGCTGAATCCCACCCCTGCTCTAGGTGGAGAAAAGGGTCATCCTAAATGACACAGGAGAAAGATGGGCCTTCCTCAAATATGTTCTTGCTGGAGATATCCTGGGAAGTAATCCAGATCTTGGGCCAGACAAGCTTTATTATTCATGGCTTAGGTTAGAAGTGCAAAATTTAGGGAGGTTGCAACAAGGGCGTGAAGCGGACCACTCAAAATGATGAAAACAGAAGACCTACCTGTTCACAAAATGGCGGTCTTAGAACCAGCCATAAAACACCCTATTTTGGCTCAAGGCAGTTTAGGCCTAAATTGCTCTCTAGCATACCACTGGGATTGAGTTAGATGGAAGTATCTGATGTCTTAGGACAGATTGCCTTTCCTTTCCTTAGAACATACTGTGCTAGGAATGTTAGGAAATATGCAGTGCATTATTTGTGGAGTAGCCTTTGAAGATGGATCAGAAATATGGCCAGGGTGCAGTAGAAAGGGTGGTGATTGGATGTAGCAGCCCTGCTATATTTACAACCAATATTAAATTCTACTTTATCCATGGTGGGACTTCATCATGGAACAAACTGCAATTAAAGTTAAATGGATTTTGAAAACCAATATTTTTATTTGAGCCCTTAAGAAATGTTTAGGAGGATTGTGTTGCTGGTTTTGAATTTCAGTTTCTCCATCCATCACTGAATTCCAAAACCATTTGGGAATGGGCAGGATATAAATCAATACAAATGAAACTAATACATGCAAACCCTCCATCATGTTTAACACTCATTGGGTTTGCATCCTCATAGTATTATCAACCCTTTTTGAGACTAGCAATTTATGCACTTTTTATTTACCTGCCACATTGTTTTCTTTTGTAGGATACATACATACAAACTTATACATAAAAGTCCAACACCTTGCCCTTCGGGGAGACAGGCAATCATTAAAGGTTTGAATGTCCTCCTCTCTCTGGACCAAAGTATCTCTTCCATCCATACTCTGTGTGGGTATGTGAGGCCTCATAATCAGCTCATCCCACCTGAGCATTACAATTAGCTGTGTTATGATTGTGGACGGGCCAAAGGAGCAAGCCAAGAGTGTTGAGGATTGAGGGATTGTGTCTGAGTGAGACCCACTGCATTTGAGGTGGTGCAGAGACAAAGGAATGCACAGGGTCTCCATTACCTGTGAGCATCATTAAAGAACTCAGAGGTGGGCTTCATATACTTTAGCAACCGGTTTGCCCAGGATCAAAAATGTGAGCATGCGCCATCCGCACATGCTTATAGCATCACAAAACACGGCAATTCGCTTGCATGTACCATCCGCACGTGCGTGCGATGTCAAACAACACAGCAATTTGCTCACACGCGCCGTCTGCGCATGTGTGCAGTGTCAAAAACACAGCGATATAGGACGGGATTGTGCCTGGGCAAGTGGGCGGGGGCGGGCCCACCCCACCTGCAGGTCGCCACTATCAGTTCGTCCGAACCGTCTGGATACCACCTCTGAAAGTACTGCTCTACCCCTGAGAAAGAGACATCCAATTATCTTAAAAATGTGAACAGCATCAATTAAAGGGTAATGAGCCATTCAGTCACATCAGTCTCTTCCATAAGCAATCAAATCCCAGACAATGTAACAAAGACTCAGTGTGATTCATCCAGATGAACTATTATCTAGTTATGGATCAGAAGGAGTCTGGTAAGCACATTTTTCAACTCACAAAATTTAAGGGATAAGCTTTCATGAGCTACAGCCATTAAATTGTAATGAGGTGGGGAAGAGGAAGAAGGGAAGACAGGTGCTTATGCAGATCCAGGTTACATGCAAGACATCCTTAAGAAAGGGTTATTCTGGGTCAACATGAAGATGATGTTATATGAAGAGTGATGTGTCTGCCCATGGCTGGGCCACTGATTTGCAGGTATAAATTATTAACCAAAAGTGAAGTGGTTAAGGGTGAATGCAAAGACCCACAGGCTAATAGCTAGGCATAGTGTATTGCTATGAGTGATGATGTTCTTGATGGCTTGAAGTCCATGTTTGTGGAGGATGTTGATATTTACTGCCTAAATATGCATGGTGGCTCAAATTGTGTTATTAGGAAAATTGCCCATGGATCTCAGTTTTCTCGAGAAATATTTTGTAGCCAAGAATGCTAGCAATATGAGATTTGAACACAAAGACCATGCAACCTGACATTCCTGGTTTTTGAGAGTAACATTTCTTTTTTGTCTTACCATGTCTAGTTAGGAGTATGACCCAGATAAGTTAGTATTGGAGGGACCACTTTACTATCAGCTATGCAGTATGTTGGCAGCATGGAAGTGGGCAGGTCTGAAGGATCATTGCTGTATTAGATTGGGAAAGTCCATCAGGAAGAAGTTCAGGTTAGAAAAGACAAGGTACTCCATCAATTCTGCATGAGTGATAAGAGTCAACATGCCTCTACCTGGAGAACCGTTACTGAGGATCCTGGTTGATGGGTATATCTTACAGGTTTGTTTGTATGCCGGGGTTGGTCACCCAGCCGTTGGAATATCTCATGTTCTCATCTAAGTGCAATAGGCGAACCAATCAATAGCATCTCACAATGTATCAAACATGCCCCAGAGGGATTGGCATGCTTGAACTTGACCTAGACTCTACCGTGCCAATATGGAGTCTGAAGTTGCTTTTGCTACTATAACTATTTAACAGATGGCACAGCCTTTAAATTTTGGGACACTTTTTCAATCAGATTTTCAGTCAATGAAAGGTTATTGCCATTGTGGATAATGCTTCCCTTCATCCTTGGGTCACAGAGACAGGCAAGAATGGTTGAAGCACAAACATAGCACGTTTGAACTACCGTGAGGTGGGATGAGATTTTAAATTCAGGGATCCAGATAGATTCTTGCCAGCAAGAGGATGGGCCTCCAGTCACAGATTCTTTCAGTTTTCTCTCTCATGGTCTCTTCCTGGCAGCAGAGTCCAATCCAGAGAGGCAGCTCACTTAGCTGTACTCTCGCATAGCCACTCTGCCTGCCTCCCACTGTTCTGTCTCCTGGTGGCACTTCACTGAATCTCAAATGGTAGCAGTTGCTGAACTGGTCAAGGTGTAGATCAGGAGTCTGCAACCTTAAACACTCAAAGAGCCATTTGGACCCATTTCCCACAGAAAAGAAAACACCGGGAGCCACAAAACCCTTCCTGTCCCTGACTATTTCTTGAGCGGCTACAAAACTAGCATATGTAGTTGAATTAAACGTTCTGTTTTCTTCTGAAACTTTTCTTTTCTTGGATTTATCCAAGGCGTTGAAAAGCTCAATAAATCACATGCCAGTGGGTGTCGCACATTGGTGGTTGTGACGCATATTTTGAGTGACGGAGCCGCAGCAGAGGGGTGAAAGAGCCACATGGCGGCTCCAGAGCCACAGGTTGCTGACCCCTGGTGTAGATAATTTATTTTGGAGCACCAAGCAAAATACAAATCAGCAGTCCGATTACAGTTTATCTGTGCAGAACCCTTTAAACAGTTGCTTTCAGCGTCAGCTTGGAAAAAAACATTTCCAGATGTTTTGGGTTTCAAGCTTCAGAATGACTCTATGGGCTCAGGCTGTTTTCTGCTTGAAGCAGTGTGTATTTCTGAAGAGATTCTGCCACTGGCTGATCAGGTTTTTATCAGTCTCCAAACTGGAATGAGTCACCACTTTGTCCTGACTGACTCTGCATTCTTCGTTCCTCACGCAGTTCTGGTTTTACTAACATCCTGCTGGCTAATTGCTTGCAAATAGCACTGCCAATCTTCTTTCTGAAGTAGAGACAGTTCATCAAGCATGAGACATGCATGTGCACAAACGATCACTCCTGCCACCAACTCTTGTGTATTCACTTTCCCTTTTTCTGGCCCAGAATGTAATTACTCATCCTATTTTTTTCTGTATGTGCACACTGCACCAAGAAAGATGTTGCGTGAAAGCAACTTCTTGTGCTGGTGGGTTCTCTGTTGAACTGTTCCACTTACTTGTTTGTTTGTTTTTTCATCGCCAAAACGGTCTTCAGCACTCTTATGCAAGTAATGACCTTCGCGCTTGTGTGTTTCAGGATACCTGCCCCCAGCCACATGAAGCCTCTAAGCCCAGCGGTGGCCCTGCTGTCTCAATGACGATCAACAGATCTTTGGGTGTTTACCCTTCCACCACCATTGTTAACCCTACAATTGTCCTTCTGCAGCACAACAGAGGTAAAATGAAAGCCACACTTCTTCCTGCTTCATATTTGGCTAGAATTATTATTTGGTGATGGGGGATTGCCGTCATGAAGTGGAGGAAACTCCAAATTTCCCAAAACAGGGACATTTCCTAAAGGACAAAGAAAATAACCAAGTAAAGGACAATAAAAGTGCCAAAAGTAATGCTAATCAAAATACCAAATAAAACAAACATAAAAGGCCATCAAAACGTTTCTAGGTCTGAAGTAAACTTTGTGTAATAAGCCAAATGAGGTTCAACACAATTCACCTCACTGTATTTTATAATGCAGCTGTGAAAAAAAATAAAACTTCCTAAAAAGTTTGAGGGGAAAAGAACCCAGGAAATTGAAAACTTGTTTACTGAGATTGGAGTACAGTTATATTGACTTACATCTCACATTGTACATTCTGCCATATTTATTTGTTTACATCCCATCTTTATTATTTTTATAAATAACTCAAGGTGGCAAACATACCTAATACTACTTCCTCCTCCTGCTTTCCACCTAACAACCACCCTGTGAGGTGGTTTGGCCTGAAAAAGAGTAACTGGCTCAAAATCACCCAGCCTCTTTCTTGCCTAAGAGAGTCTTCTGGAGCTTTAACCACTAGAGCAAATTGGCTGTATGGATGGGTTTTCTTTTACTTGTTCTTTAGGGGCAGGCTGCTGGGGGTTCACAGTGGTTTGGGAGAACTTCTAGCTAAGATTCTGTGCAGTTCAGAGAATCCCCAAATCCCATCCCTGGTTGGCCCCCCTGCCCCCCCGCCCCGCCCAGGAGTCCCCACGCAGCCCGTTTTGGATGCAGGTAAGTGCAGGGTGCGCATGGAGGCTCAGGGAGGGTGAAAAATGGGCCTACTGGAAGTTCGGGAAGGCCGGAAACAGGTCTTCAGAGCTTGAGGAGGACGTTTTTGCCCTCCCAGAGGCTCAAAAAAAGCCTCTGGAGCCTGGGGAGGGCAAAAACACCTCCCCCTCCCCACCGTGGTGCAGGAGGCCGACTAGGCCATAGCCACCATGGCCACGTCCACCCAGCAACTGGGCAGAGAACCCCTTGCTAAAATTTTTGAAGTCCACTCCTGTTGTTCTTATGTGCGATTATTCAGCAGATGTTTTGTTTCTAACTGAGCAGTGAAAGACTTCTCAGCAGTTGGTGGGAAATGTTTATAGTCAGAGCAAGAATTCATAAGAGACGATGGAATAGGTGGATTGCCTTTAAATTTCCGGGTCCACACAGGCTGAAAAGTACCTTCCTGTTTTAATGTTTAGAGACCAAGCTATATTTAAAACTCTGAAACTGACGTAAAACTGTATATGATGATGAGGGAGATTTTGTTGTAATTACCGAGATATTAATGTGATTTGTTTAGTGACAACGAGACTTCCAATCATTTCTTGTGCTGTCTTATACCTGAGGAAAGCTACGAACCATAAGACTCTGCTAATTTAACAGCAAGTTTATCTCCAGGTTTTTTCCTGTCTCTGCCCAGGATACAACTTCTGCATTTTGTTTTTTGAAAGGACAATTAACTTTGGGGGTTCTACTTTTTTTTACCTTTTTTCCCCATTCTCTGCAACTCTTCCTTTCATCTTATTTCCCCCCCCCAGTTACTTTAATTCAGCCGTGTTGTTTTCCTTTCTCTTTTCATCTGGCCATTACCCTGGCTTCTAAAGATCTTATAAAATGGGAAGGGAAGGGAAAGGGAAAAAATTGTACATGCGCAAGTTTGAAAGGCACAGATTATTCAGTTTTTTACATCAGTATCTTCTACGAAGCCCATTCAATTGATTGTGGCCAATCACAAAGATAGTAAAAGGCTTAATTCCATTGCAGAACTCAGATGATTGAATCTGCATGCTAAAACGAGGAGGAGGAATCAGCTAGGATAGATTTCAGTCCGTGTCTATAACTTGATACTTTTTTCCTCATGATTAAGCGAGGCATTATTTTTAGAGGAAGAAGTAGGCTGCTCATTTACATTTGTTATGTGCAGCCTGAACAAACAGCCGGGGTTATGGTCCTCCCCCAAAATCATGTGATGATCATGATGTGAAAGACATCATAAATATAAGAAATGTGAAAATCTTCCTTTAACTCCTTTCCACCTGCCACTCCTTAGACACAGGGAAAACGGAGGGCAAAAACCTTCCGTAAGCCTAACGTAAACAATCTAAAACTACTTTCATTCATTCCTCTGAAGAATGTTATGCTGCTTCTCTTTAATCCATGCATCGTATCATTTGGCAGGTTTCCAGTCTCTACCAAAACAAATCAAAAACAAACCATGACTAGTCATCTGACTATATTCAGGAAGTGAATTAGAGAGGTTACTTTCTGCTGCAGTCTATCCACAGGTAGTCCTCCAGTTATGCCCATTTGTTGAGCAACCATTACAATGGTGCTGTGAACGCAGGATTTATGACCAGTCCTTGAAGTTCCAGCCATTGCAGCATCTCTGTGGTCACATGATCATCATTTGTGATCTTCCCAGCTGGCTTCCCACAACCAAAGTCAGTGGGAAGCCAGAAGGAAAGGTTGCAAGTCTTTTGGGTAAGTTTCCCTCTGCCCCCTGGCCTTCCTTCGCTTCCACACATGCACACACATACCCCATGCCCTCTTGCCCTGGCCTCTTTTGCACTCTGTTTTCCCCACCTTCCTTGAGGTCCCACACGTGAACATGTGCACCTTGCACCTTCATTTCCTAGCCTCCCTGAGCTTGTGGCCACACTGCACAACCCTAAGTCATCTGCTTCTTCGGTTATAACAATAACTGGAACTGGATTGCCTTTGGTCACGTGCAGTGGTGGGTTGCTGCTGGTTCAGACCGGTTTGGGCAAACCGGTAGTTGCGACCTGCGGGTGGGGGTGGGCCTGCTCCGCCCATCCGCCCAGGTGCAATCCCATCCTATATCGCTGTGTTTTTGACGCCGCACGCATGTGCAGATGGCGCATGTGAGCGAATTGCCGTGTTTTGTGACGTGTGGATGGCTTTCACATGCTCACATTTCCAGTTGCTGGGCGAACTGGTTGTTCCAGTATGTGATGTCCACCTCTGTTCACGTGACATTGCACTTTACAACTGCATCACTTAGTGATGGCAATCCCAGTCCCAATTGCTTCAGTAACTGGAGGACCATCGGTATCTATCTTCAAGAGCATCCAGCTGCTCAAAGTTGATATAAGTTCCAATATCAGGCCTTGTTTTTCAACCTAAACTTTCATAAGATGCCAGATGGTCTATTTATGATAGCTTTCTTTACCTGTGACCAGGAGAATGGAGATGTTTAGAATTTGTCCCATGTGATTTCATGAAGTTCTATGAGAAGGACTTTCCTGACTAGTCTTCAGATTTAAAGATCTGCAGAAGGTAGTTATCAGGTTTCTTCAATGTAACCTTTCTTCATTTGGGGAATGGCAATGGAAGGTATCCACTCTTACGGGCTGGTTATATTTGCATCTGGTATTGCTGAACCTTTGGATCTTAAAAAAAGTTTGGTTTTAGATCAGAAGGTCTTATTTGGAGTTGTTGTGAATGCAATATCCATTTATGTGATACTGTTGCACACTTATCAAAGAATACACCAAACATTTATTTATCAGCATTACTTTTGATCTGGTGAATAAAGATATAAACTGGCTTGCAAATAAATTAGGATTGATCAGTAAAAGTAGGGAAGATTCTTGAGACCAGATTCTATTCTGAAGAATCATGAATACCGTGTTTCCCCGAAAATAAGACCCTGTCTTATATTTTTTGAAACCCGAAATAAGCTCTTGGCCTTATTTTTGGGGAGGCCTTATTATTTTGGGGCGCATGGAGCAAGACTCCTCTTGCCGTCTTACCTGATTTCCAGCTCTGTTTCCCTAACCCTAACCAGAGGAAATGGCGGAGACCAGCTGCTCATGTGTTCAAATATTTTCAGGGAGGGCTTATTTTTGGAGAGGGCATATTTTAGCACATGCACTCAAAAACCCGATTGGGCTTATTATCAGGGGATGTCTTATTTTTGGGAAAACATGGTAACTTCCACCTCAATAAACTAGAATAAATATTTTTCATCGTTCATACTAAATGTTCCAGTTTGAATCTTGCATCTCACTTAATTCAATAAAGGTGCAGCTATATGTTTCTCGGAATGTGAACTATATAGAATTCTTCTTGAATACACATATATGAGGACAGTGTAAGGCAAGCTATCCTCACTCAGACTTAGACCCCATTTGTGTGTGTAGACTGTCTAGTGCTTTCCCAATGTCTTGGGCTTCAGTGCCCATCACATCATCAGCCCATATTGTTGGTAGCAAATTATTGTTGTAGGTTCCAGCAAGGATAATGTCTATGAAGTACTTGGAAAGTTCTAGGGATTTTTAGCCTTCTGATTTGGTGAAAAAAATGTATGCATGTCAAGTTGTTTGAATCAAACATGTAAACATGTTACTCATTCATTATATATGAGACTCTTGCTCAGCACTTTTATTTAAAGGGCAAGGGGGTGGGATTCAACCGGTTCGTACCACTTTGGCCGAACTGGCTGTTAAATAGCTGGCTGGCCCCTCCCCTCCCCGCCCCTTCCAGAAGTCCCCACGTGCCCCGTTTTGGCTCCCAGGTAAGTCCAGGGAGTCCTCCCCCCCGGCCTATTTTTGCTCCCAGGGGGGTGGAGGAGGCTGAGTGCTGCCTGTCACACCCCCTGGCCACACCCACCATGACCATGCCCACCCACCCAGCCGGTCATTAGGGTAGAGAACCGGTTGTTAAATTATTTGAATCCCACCACTGGTTAACATATTGGGTTTGATGAAATGCTAATTGTGGTAGGGTGTTTAAGCTCTTTGAGTTTTCGTTCAGCAGATTATGGAATGTCTTATCAAGAGTTGAGGGCAATCATGGTTTCAACAATTTGTTTGTCTTTCCCCCCTCCTCTCTTTCTCACAGCAGAGCAGCAAAAAAGGCTTAGTAGCCTTGCAGGTATGATGCCCCAAATATTGTTATGCTGTTTCCAGCTGTTGTTGTTTCTACTGCTCTATTCAGTCAAGTGCTTTTTATCTAATAGAGTATCATTAGTGAATCTGTAAAGGAAGAGCTGCAATTCAAGGGTAGAGGAATTGTACTTGGGTTCAGCAACTGTGACATATTTATGCTACTTTTCTCCGGAATTCCACAAGGCAATCTTGGAAAAAGAAGAGACCTGGCCAGAGGTGGGCTGCTGCCGGTTCGAGTGAACCGGTAGTTCTGACCAGCGGCTGGGCCCACCCCACCCAGCACTATCCCGTCTTATGTAATCGGTGTATGTTTGCTGCCACGCTCACATTTTCGCATTCTGGGCGAACCGGTTGTTACACTATGTGACGCCCACTTCTGGACCTGGCCCACCATTTCAAAAGAGCTTGAAATATCCCCCTTATCTCAAAGCCACAGACCGTGAAATGGCAGCGAAGGGTCCTCTTTATTTGATTATACAGATTTTTGCAGCCCAGTTCTGATAGCCCAGCCCCAATTTTACCAGAATGACTAGTCTGATACTTTTCTGCATTAGCATCCGGGGTGCTATTCAGCAGGTTCTGCCAGGTTCTGGAGAACTGGTAGCGGAAATTTTGAGTAGTTCAGAGAACCGGCAAATACCACCTCTGGCTGGCCCCAGAGTGGGGTGGGAATGGAGATTTTGCAATATCCTTCTCCCAGGAGTGGGGAGGGAATGGGGATTTTGCAGTATCCTTCCCCTGGAGTGGGGTGGGAATGGAGATTTTGCAATATTCTTTCCCCAGGAGTGGGGAGGGAATAGGGATTTTGCAGTATCCTTCCCCTGGAGTGGGGTGGGAATGGAGATTTTGCAGTATCCTTCCCCTGCCACGCCCACCAAGCCACACCACTCCCACCAAGCCACGCTCACAGAACTGGTAGTAAAAAAAATTGAATTCCACCACTGATTAGCATCCAACATTTAAAAATAATCAAGAATTTAATATTAAGGTCATATTCAAAAGCAGGTTCGAATCAATCTTTTATTGGTTTAAAATGTTTGTTAGCTGTTATTGAGGGGAACTAGTCCAGAACAATACATAAAAGTAGGTTAGAACATTTAGCTAATCAGCTCTGGGATGGATTTGCTCATGATACTCTGGGATGAATGCAGATTATATTGCATGGACTGCGTAAATTTAATTTCCGTTTAGAATACTGTTCTTGAGCTCACCGTGCATGTTCTTAAGCATGAGTATGTTGCTTTTTTTCCCAGTGCATGCTACACTGCCTTATCACTGTTTGCTGAAACTTAATACATTTTAATGAGTCAGCTTATGATCATTCTCCCTTCTGGAAATCTTTCCGGAGAATCTGGTAGAGGTGGAGCTTAAAGGCTGCTGCATTGTAATAACAGTTACATTAGAGTAGTTAACTACGATTCTGTTGCTAAGCCTATGTGGTGTTTTTTTTTTTTATCTGAGAATCAATGAATAAGGTCCCAAAGTTTAAAATAATATATTCTGCAAATTATCTAGAATGCACTGTTAAAGGAAATATGGAACACTTTCTTTTCTAAAATTCCTTCTTTATTCAGTCCTATTGAAAATATAAACTCTTTTAAGCCAATAAGATACTTCATTTGTATTTCTCCAAGGTTCTGATGTTAAATATTTTATAGCAATGGTGAAAGCCCAAGTGACTCCTGCTTTTGTTTGCAGATCCAGTGCCTGATCCACCAGTCGTTGAGAAAGTAGTTAGTATATCTCTTCGACAAAAGTTAAATCCAAGCAAGGAAGATGCAGTAGAGGAACAGAAAAGAATTGTTCATAATTCTCAGCCTATGGCTGATGATTCTCTGGATTCCATAGGCATTCCACTAAGAGTAAGGAAATACTTTCCTGTTGCATCAATTCATTCCTGATTGTCTATTTTTTTGTTACGGTCAATTTTCAGCACATAAATTGTTTTGTTAAATTTTGTCCTGATGTAAATCCATTTAGCATTTGTATACTTTTATGAACAGTATAGTAGGTACATGAAGTAAAATATTCTGTCTTTTAAAAAAATTCCCTAAAGTTTCAAACTTTGGAATCGGATAATATTGTCCATGATGTGACATTTCTCTTCAAGATTTTTCAAGTGGGATTGCTTAGCTTCTCTTAGCTCCATCAAGAAGTGTCAGGATGGGGCCCACAACACCCACCACCTGATGGATCTGATTTGTTTGGGTAAAGACCGTGGTCTTTGAACCAGTTGCTTTCCTTCTTAACACACAGCACTGCAGGAGGCCATCGCAGCCAAAAATGGAGCCCAGGTGGGCCATGCGCGGCTCTCACAAGCTCCATTTTTGCTGGCAGAGTGCTAGCAAAGCAAACTACTAGTAAAAGTGGCATTTAATCACATTAGTGACATTGAGCTGGGCACACCCCATGGCCACGTGCCCCCCCACCCTGATGTGGCCCTCAATGAAATTGAGTTTGACACCCCTGATGTAGACTAACAAAGAGGCTACCTTCTCCTCCAACAAAATCCTGAAATAATTAAACATTATTTGATTGATGTACCTATATCTGCTCTGACATTTTCCCCTACCCTTCCACAGACAGATGGAAGGGAAGACAGAGATGAATCTACATCAGAGGTCTTCAAACTTGGCAGCTTTAAGACTTGTGGACTTCAATTTGTAGAATTCTGGGAGTTGAAGTCCACAAGTCTTAAAGCTGCCAAGTTTGAAGACTACTGAGCTACATAAATGATCAATGCCTCAGCAGCCATCTAGACATCTAGCCATCAATTTAATCTAGACTTTTCTTTGCTAGTGCCACCTAGAGGTGGCCTGAAATGCGTAGTAAGTGCATAGTAAACAAGCAAAAGACAAGCTGAGGAACATTCCTTGTGCAGCTGCTACTGTGGCAGATTCTTCTCTTAGAAGTATTCCAGCACGATGAAACATGGCAATTGTGTCAGAATTTAGGAACAGTTTCTGGCTGGCAGCTGGTATGCGGAGCCTGGCATCTATTCCATTTATGGAGGAAAGCTCTTGATATCATCTTGGATGAATCAAAGAAACAAAAGTCACTTCCTCTAATTAAAAAAAAAATGAATTTAAACTTAAGGTGCTGCTTTCCTTTAATTAAAATTGATACACATTTGCTCTCTAAAATCTTCCACAAATATGAAAAAGGAAACCAGATTTTGGAACCCTGTCACCCAAGCATGAAAAACAGCATACTAGTGAGCTACATAAAACCTTTCAATCCCTAGTTCTTTAGGTAAACTTAGTCTAAATTGTACAAATCCTCATAAAATTTAGTTATCCTTCAACATAAGCTTCCAAAGGCTATAACTATTAATTCAAACTACCATAGATGGTTGTGGGTATGGAAGTTGGTGGTCAAAGACTAAGTCTGGAAATTTGTTTTGGGGAGAAGAATGATACCGGTATTTATAGTGTTGCCTTTCTCAGGACATCAAAGTTTCTCACGGCCATCAACCATCCAATCAGCTATGGAGATAAGTGTGACAGAGCCATGCCATACAATCTAGAAACTGATCATTGTTACTGTCAGACTGGCCTAGCTTTCCCTAGAAAGAACAACCCTTGACTCTATAGGTTTTAGAGAAAAGGTACTTTTACTAGAGATGCTGAGGGCAGCATGGATGAGGCAAGCTCTGAGGAAAAACTGCGCAAAAATCGTATATTGAAAGCAATCCCCAATGTCCAACACCCCACTCCCCCAGGAGAGCAGTCCAATCAGGTCCTGTTCTGATGTTTTGGAAATTTAGTGCCTCAGGCGCCGGTGTAAATTTCTTTCTCAGGACTGGCATCCTTGAAGCTCAGCAGATGGCTCATTTTAGCACCTCTGGTTCCTGTTAGTGTCCATACTCCCCAATTTCCCATTGCATTCTTTCACACCTCCAGCACGCTTCCCTTCCCAGATTCCCCTCCCCCCTGGTTATGGCAGTTGCCTGCGAACTTCAAAGAAAGTGAAGATGAGCAGCTGACGGTTATTTTGGTGCCTAAAACTGATGCTGTCACAAGAGCTAAACAGTGTTTAATGTAGCTCAACATACAGAATTTGTTCAAAAAGAATTCGGATGTTCTTTGAATGATCATCTGTGAATTCAAAGTTTTCCCCACTTGCCTATAGGAATGATCGACCTTGCTTTCATATGCTTGGTGATCATCCAAAGTTAGTGGATCCCTGCCTTGCTAAGTTGCATTCTCTGAAGATTCCAGGATCTGAAAGATTCCACACAGATTATTGCCCAGGTCTAGAAACCCAAAGTATGAATTCACAGATAACCACTTGAAGATCTACAATTATAAGTAATCAGTTCTTACAACAGCTACATCAATTCACATTATTTTAATGTGAATTAAAATAATGTGAATTATTTTAGACCCAGTTTTTGGTCCTAAATGTATGTGATAGCAAGTCTGCCTGTAGCACCAATGTGAAGGTCCATGTAATATGTGTTTATTGGCTCTTTTTACATTTGACTTTCTACTATCATAGTATTAATTAGGTGAACTAATCTGACATTGAATGTGCACTTTGACAAATCAGCTAAAAAGAATACAATCAGTGTGAGAGACCATGAACACTAAAGATTTTGATTTTAGACAAATCAAATGAAGTAACATTATTATAAGTAGTCAACAAACAACTTGAGAAATAACAAGAAGTGGACGGCATTTAATGAAGGGGTTTCAATGAAATCAGTACAATGATGTGGAACCTGTTGATGGCTCTCGAGGTCCTGCTGACTTTCCTGGTTGGTGCTGTAGCAACACCTGCTGGAACTCCATACTTGTATTAGAATTACAGTAGCGGCCAAAATTGTGGAAACCTTTTGAGAAAACTGTATTTTCTAAAACTAGCTAATAACACCGCTTTGTTTTGGAGTAGCACCATAAAATTATATATCACTGGAAAGATAATTTAATCAAGAATGTAATGCAATAACTTCTATGAAGGATTTGTTATTAGAAGAGCAGTTAGAGTATAAAGAAGAAAAGTGAAACACATAGAAAAAAAAAGAGATGTGCCAAAATTATCACCATAGGAAAAAATGAGATATACAAAAATTATCACCATGTCAGTTAATACTTAGTTGGGTAACCTTTAACATGAATTACGGCTTTATAACGTCTTCCCATGGGGTGAACCAAGTCTTTTAGTTCTGCAGCTGTTATAATGTGAAACCAAGATTGAATGATTGCTTCTATTAACTGGGTTTTATTGCTGGGTCGCTTCTGACTACCAAGTTTCTTTAGTTGGCTGCATAGATTTCCAATTGGGTTAAAGTCTGGGCTATTCCCAGGCCATTCCAGCAGTAGAATGTGATTATCTTGAAACTCCCCCCAAAAAAGTAAAAAAAAAGTGGTGTTATTAGCCATCAAACCTCAAAAATACACTATTCCCAAAAGGTTTCCACAATTTTGGCCACTACTGTACATTGGCAAAACACCACCATTAAAACTGGAAATTTAGGACAGCGTTGCCTCCCTAAAACTCCCTGCATCCCATATATTGCTTGCTTGACTAATCAGCAGAACAGACCAAAACAATTTACCCCACAGTTGGACAAAACGGGTCTTTTGCATCCACAAGTTTGTCAGGGAGCCTATTGATGAGCAGAACCTATTAACATAAAGTAATAGATATAAGATACCATAACTTGAACGGGTGTTTAAATCTTTTCAAATGCTGTGTTATCTTTCTTTTTCAATTAGAATTCAGAACGATCCAAGGACTGGTACAAGATAATGTTCAAACAAATCCACAGATTGACAAAAGGTATATCTAATTTAAAACATTCTATCTCTCTAGTTACCTGTTTCCTTTGGGATGGAATAGTCTGGTTTTGGGAGGGCGGGGTAGGCAGCTAAAATGAATCCAGGATGTGGCTTTAAACTTTCTTCCTAAGAAGTCTTTCCCCCCACTCCCAATCCCTCCCCCCCCCAAAAAAAACCAGCTACTAATCCTGAGACAGAAGTCTCCATAGTTGCCAATGGAAGATTCTCTCCCAGGCTCAGAACTTATAGCAAGGAGAAGCAGGATTCGGACCAGGGTCTTCCTTAACCCCATTTCTTCCCTCAGAAGTACATTGTATCATGTGCATTCACACATACCCTTGGCCAGTTTGCAATTCAACGTATGCTAAAATTATCACATTCCACCAAAAAGAATTATCTTCTCCTTGGAAGCATTCTGAAAGCAAATCCTCTTTCCCTAAATTGAATCAGAATTGATAACGAAACTGCAAGATTTCTGTACCTACTAAATTTAGCACTCAAGGGCTGGTTAATTTGAGGCAAATCATTCTGGAAATGTGTGAAACGCACTCTGTGCTGATACATTTGCCCATGGCTGACCTGGAGGGGTGGCAGCCTAAGACTAAATGATGCATTTTTGAGGGATGGCAACTCTATTCAAGCATGTGAGCATTAGGAGTTTCCTCTAATCCAGGGGTCAGCAACCTGCGGCTCTGGAGCCACATGTGGCTCTTTCACCCCTCTGCTGCGGCTCCCTGTCACTCAAAATATGCATCACAACCACCAATGTGCGACACCCGCTGGCACTCAGTTTGAGCTTTTCAACCTCTGGTAGGCCAACCATGGATAAATCCAAGAAAAGAAAAGTTTAATTCAACTACATATGCTAGTTTTGTGGCCGCTCAAGAAATAGTCAGGTACAGGAAGGGTTTTGTGGCTCCCGGTGTTTTCTTTTCTGTGGGAAACAGGTCCAAATGGCTCTTTGAGTGTTTAAGGTTGCAGACCCCTGCTCTAATCTATTCCACTCCATTTACGGTGTATCTTTCCTCTCTGTTCTTTTTTTCTGAAATGTGCTCTTCCTGCACAGACCCTCCTGAAGAAAACCCTTATTGCCCTACCTACATATTCCCTGAGCTTCCTGCTTTTCAACCCAAAAGCAAAGGTACCACAACAAGAATATATCTTGTTTTTCGTTTGGCTAACCATGGTTTAATCTGTCATACTACAATATGACTCATTAAAAAATTGAATGCTATTCCGAATGTCTCCTTGTTTTGTATTGATGGAGACCTTCCGCTCCCTCTTGGGAGCAGCGGATGATAATATTAGTAGCAAAGTGGGTTACAAAAACAGAATGGGATAGGAAATTGAGAAGTGATGAACTTCCTCCACTTAAGCATGGCTGCTGTCCAACCCCACTGCTTTTCTCTGCTGCAGAACAAAATCCTTATTCTCCTACTTACCAGTTTCCTGTGTCTACTCCTAGCCCTAGATCTGAAGGTAATTCGTTAAGATCAATTGACTTTCGCTTTCGTACAAGCTTTCCGCTTTCTTAATTTTCCAGCCAGAGTTTTCGTAGTCGCCAAAGTCTCATTTGCTGTCTTTTAATTGTAGTTGCTTTTTTTGCTCTTACATGCTCGGTGGTAGAACCTCTTTATTAGCTTTGCTTCGCTTTTTTTCAGTTTTCTAATCGTCCCCTAATTAATACTGTGGAGCTTGGATTTTCTTTGGCTTGTGTTGTCAGTTCAAGATAATTGAATCCAGGCATCTGAAATCACACAGCACATGGAGACCAGTCCACAAAGACATATGTTTTTATTAAATGGAATGAAACACCTTGAATGCGTATTTGTCAAGGACTCCTTTCCAGTGGTGAAATGTAAAATTTGTTACTACCGGTTCTGTGGGCGTGGCTTGGTGGGGGGAGGTAATGTGACTGAGTAGGCGTGGCCAACTTTTTTTTTTAACTTTTAAAACCATTTTTTCTACAATCTCTTTGGCTGAAGAGGTTGTAAAAAATGCTTTTAAAAGTTTCCAGCTGAGTTGCCTGATCGTCAGAGGCTTTTTTTTCTTTTAAAAGCCTCTGACGATCCCAGCTGAGCTGCGCAATCATCAGAGGCTTTTTAAAAAAATTTTTAAAAGCATTTTTCGGCCGAAGAGATTGTAAAAAAAATGTTTTTAAAATAAAAAAAATCCTCTGATGATCGCATGGCTCAGCTGGGCATGTGGGGGGGGGGAAACACCAGGGATTTTTGCTACCGGTTCTCCGAACCACCCTCCGCCATCGCTACCAGATCAGGCGATCTGGTCCGAACCGGGAGCATTTCACTCCTGCTCCTTTCCCAAGGCCAGTGCGGCAGTGATGGTTGCAAGATTCAGCATGTTCTGTGTGTCACCCACATCTACAGGACAGTGTTCCCTATTAAAAATCGTATACAGTATTCATATCTCCGGTGATATACTTTCTATGAAATAACATAGAATTGCATCCAATTTTGAAATGGAAACTTGTTACTCATAGCATTCTTCTGGATAGAGATGAAATTATGGCATTTTATACTAGAGGATAATCCTTGGAAGACTTAAGCTTCTATGAATACTATTGGCCTAGTGCAACTTTATAATATGTAGACTTCAACTCCCCAGCCAGCCATGGGAAATTCTGGAATTGAAGTCCATGTGTCTTAAAGTTGTCGTAAAGTTGCCAAGATTGAGAATATTGGTGCAAGAACTCATCTTACTTCTGTCAGTAGCATTTGCATAGCCATTCACTTTCAGGATTCCTTTGCTTTGAGCCCTCTTCTGTGGATGAAAAAGATTGAATGAGAGCTTTCCCTGAAGATTCAACTTAATGAATTTCCTTCATTTATCTTCAGAGTGAACAGATGTAGCTGATCTTAGCAGTGGCAGTCCCCACCTGAATTAGGAGCAAGATAAAATTGCCAGATCTAATAAGTCTTGGAAATTGTCCCATCCCTTTCTACATAATGTACCCTTTCAGATCCTTGAAAAATAATATGATGTCCTCATCTACTGATACTGCCCAAAATTGCATTTGTTTTTTTAGCAGTCATACCAGTGTGTTGACTCATATTTAGCTTGTAAGTGATCAACTGCAATTCCAATATCCTTTTCACTCATACTGTACCCCATACCATGTTTCTTTTGCCTCTGAATAACTTTGCATTTGTTGCTATTAAATTTATATTCAATGCCATTTTCAACCCACTTCTCACAAAAATCTATCAAGATCATTTTGTTTCTGACTTTCTTAGTCTCTTGGTTGCTCCCTCCAGTTTTTCGATAAGTTTTCTCCTGTACCAAAGAGTCATATGGCACTTACATTATACCTCTCTCAACTTGATGAAAAGCCTTTGATGAAAAGCATTCTGGGTGGAGTTTCAAGCCGGTTATGGATTAAATATACAGAAATCTCACCCAATCAAACTTGAATAACTTGCTAATCAGAATGTCATGCACACACTCTGTCAGATGTTTTACAGCATTTCCACATTGTGTGTAAGTCATTTACCTGATCCAGAAATGAAATAAAATTAATCTGACAAAGATATGCTGCATTGTTTTCTAAGAACCTAGGCACCAGTGGTATTATGGCAGATCTGTGTAATAATCTTCTCAGATAAAGTACCGCCTAATAAAAACACTTGTCTAGTTACTTAACCAGTTGTGGCTGTATGACTAATCCTAGAAGTATTGGAGAAGAAGCTCTCCTCTTAACAGGTCCCATGACGATCAGGCCTTGCTTCACTGAATTCAGAAAGCAGGTACAACCCTTGTCTGCCCCTCATTTTATTTTCATTTCAGATGACATCCATTCTGCGATTGCTTGGCTGAGGTCCTTGCTAGGATCCCTGGTGGAATTGTTTTCAATTCCTAAGTCTGCTGCTATCATTGCTTTAAGAAGCTTCTGCTTCTCATATTCCTCTGCTTGTGTAAAGACAGGAATATTATTATATGGCATGACTGTATCAGATCATGGGGGTCTGGAGACTGACCCAGGTTCTTTGGCTATCAGCAGAGAGATTGGTGGTCTTTACAGCAGCAAATGACTAAAGAATGCACTTGTAACTTCCAGTCCTGTGGGCATGTTTGTAACATTTATTGATCAGGTCTTTGTAAATGTTATTTATTTATCAAATGTCTACATTGTCCGTCTCACCTACAGTAGTGACCAAAATTGTGGAAACCTTTTGGGAAAACTGTATTTTCTAAAACTAGATAATAACACCACTTTTGTTTTGGAGTAGTACCATAAAATTATATATCAATGGAAAGATAATTTAATCAAGAATGTAATGCAATAACTTTTATGAAGGATTTGCTGCTAGAAGAGCAGTTACAGTGTAAAGAAGAAAAGTAAAATACATAGAAAAAATGAGATGCACAAAAATTATCACCATGTCAGTTAATATTTAGTTGGGTAACCTTTAGCATGAATTATGGCCTTCCCATGGAGTGAACCAAGTTTTTTAGTTCTGCAGCTGTTCTAATGTGAAACCAAGATGGAATGATTGCTTCTATGAACTGGGTTTTATTGCTGGGTTGCTTCTGACTAACAAGTTTCTTTAGTCGGCTCCATAGATTTTCAATTGGTTAAGGTCTGGGCTATTCCTAGGCCAGTCCAGCAGTGGAATAGGATTATCTTGAAACTCCAAAAAAAGTGGTGTTATTAGCCATCAAACCTCAAAAATACACTTTTCCCAAAAGGTTTCCACAATTTTGGCCGCTATTGTAAGTGACTCTGGGTGGTTTGTAAATGGCTCCTTAGCCTGAAAAATTCAGTGTTCAGATGCAGACTGGAGGTCCATGGATTTATTCTTTTCTGATTTTGCATCAGCCCTGCTGTGCAAAGAACTGGTATATGTTTTCAAATGTGAGGCAGTGTTGTTTTTGCTAATTGTAGACCATATTTGCTAAATTATCTTGTATCATGAGAGTTTGGAAGGTTTCACTGAGGGATTATGAAGAATCTTTCCCTAGAGATGTTTTGATACACAGATCGGGAAGTTTAGCTGGTGAAATGAAAATATTCAGAGCATGTGAATCATTACAAGGCAGGAGGAGAGTAAATGGAAGATTTTAGTTGTAATTCCAAGGCGTAAGATCATGGGATATATTAATTTGAATAAGCAAAGACCTATGGAGTTAGCAATATATTTTTAGTGTTCAATTTAAAAAGTTGGGATTGGAATATTAACTTGCATTTTCCATTCCCAGGCATTTCCAGGCACCCTTTATTATTATTATTAAGGAAGAATGCTGTGCTTCTGGGAAGGTTGATGTGATAGATATGTATATGATTTCTATAAAAATAGTTTAGAATATGATTTGAATGAATACAGCTGCAAACCTGTGTGTAAATCAATATATATTATTAAATGCATTCGGACTGAATTTTGAGGACATGTCCATAGGATTGGATTGTAATACTGATAAAGGGGCCTGGTTCACATGCTGTATTGCAGTTCAATGGAATAGCGGAATTCATCTGATTTGATTTGGTGTTATTTAAAAAGCACATCACCATAGTTTATTCATAATCTTGGTTTAATGTTACACGTAAACCAGATCTCATGCAGCTGCCTCCTTGAAGCCTTCATATATCTCCTCTGCTTATGGAGAGAGAAAGGCCAACTCCTGGCCTCCCCTGTACAGATTCAAAGAGATTCAAAGAGTATTAAAACCAATAAATGTGGTGACATGAAAACTGTGCGGGCATTCAAGAATACATGAATACTGAATATATTTAATTCTGGGAGGTATGAATAACCCACTCATATATTCCTTGCAATGTACTTATGGCTGCTTTTGCATAAAAAGCGCAGTGTTTTTGTTATTAATCAAACTACCAGAAATGATAATAGAATTTGCACTTGGATTCATAAAGTGGCAGAAGGGGAAGCCATAGTCATAAATATATAATGGAATATCTAAACAGATAGCAAATTATGTTTTTTTCCCCCAGATGAAGATTCTGATTCATATTTTCCACAGGACTCCTTTGGCGAAGAAGGTAAGTATTTGAACATTGAAATGAGTTATATGAAGTGCTAAAGGTTGTATGAAAGAGAAAGTTACACGATGTGCTGAATGAATCTTACTCCAGTTGAAAAACCCATTATCTACCCAGAATACAACAAACCTTCATGTTTTGGGATATTGGTGCCTTTGTTCTCCGACAAACACATCTGACTTTATCCCTTTGCAGTAACAGCACAAACTTCAGTGCCCCGGTCCAAGAGCGAGAATGATACCATCAACACAGACAAGATAATGAAGAGATCAGCCACCTTGCCGCTGCCCACTCGTTCTTCATCTCTTAAAGAGAGGTAATCACAGATAAGAACAGTTGAAGTAGTAGCTCAGGTTGTGTTCTGACCTAGGCTTCACAAAAGCACGAAGCAGACTCCTTGTCCCGACAAAACCCCTTTTTATTAAGCTAAGGTGAATTCCTCTCATTCACATCCAGCAAAGTCCCGGCAAACAGTCTTTCAAGGGAGAATTTACAACCACAGACCTCATCAGGCTTGGAGAGCTGCCAGGCCGATCTCGTCCAAACGCAACGCTGTACAAGAAAATATTTGGCAAGGAGACTCTGAGAGTCACAAACAGATCTTCACACTAATTAAATGAACTAATTGTCTCCTGCAAACACCACTCCCCTTTCGCTCCTATTTATTTCCTATGCCAGCATCCTCTTGTGCTTTTACTCCCGAGTTGACCTCTGTTCCTTAATTGTTCCCTTCCCCTAGCAGCTCTGTGCATGCGCACATCGGGAACAGCCTCCAGCTGTTCTTCAGCCCCACTTATCTCTGACTCTGAAGGTAGCTGATAACTGTTGGACGACCCTGGTCCTATCTCTGCCTCCGACGCAGAGCGCTCATCAGAGCCTTTCCCAGACTCCAGGACCGGCCCATGTTCCTCCCTAACCTCCTCACTGTCCGAGTCTGCCGCCAGCTCTGCAGGCAGGCCACAACAGGGTGATGCAACAAGCCAGCAAACAAACAAACAAGCCAACAAACAAACAAACAAGCCAGGTGGTTAAGGTGCTGCCCTAGAAACCAGGGTGGATAAAAACCAATGATTTTTTTAAAAAAATCAAAAAAATCAGATTTTTTTGATTTAAATCAGATTTTTTTGATTTTTATTGAATTTATTTTAATAAAAAACTTTTGGGGTAAAAATCTATCGTAAGATAGTTTTCTATTTAAGATACATAAATAATTTAGTTTATTCAGCATGAAATGGAGCTTAGTTATGTAGCACAAGGCTGTATATTCTGCAACACTAGGACTATCGGTGAGTCAACAGCGGGTCAAAGGAGTAGCAGAGATGACAGTTGCTCTTTAAAAAATATGATTTAAATCGAGTTGATTTAAATCAAGCCTTTTTACTAGTGATTTAAATCATGATTTAAATCATGATTTAAATCGACTCGATTTAAATCAAATCCACCCTGCTAGAAACTAAGAGACAATGATTTCTAGTCCTGGCTTGTGTTGAGTTGTGGGAATCAATGAAGAGGCAGGATGACAGGAAGTAACTTCAGCTCTTTATCTCAAGTCAGTAACTTCTGCAAAGGCTTAGCCGGCAGCGCTCCCTTTTAAAGGGAGCTGTCCACCGATCCAGCCACTGACAACACTTTACTTTTCCTACCATTTGAATCTACCAATCAGCGGCGAGCATGCAAATGTCCGGCTAAACCTGGACCTGAGTGAAGCCTACATCCCTGGGTTCACTCGCTATTTACATATGTAACAATTTGGACATGAAAGCGGGCTGGGTGACTTTGGGCCAGTCACTCCCTCTCAGCTCAACCTACCTCACAGGGTGGTTGTTATGGGAAAAATAGGAGGAAAGAGTATTCGGTATATTCACTGCCTTGAGTTACTTATAAAGTAATCCGAGCAGAATTAAAAAAGAAAATGAAAAATAATAAACTGAATTGAAAACTAGATTTTCTATATCATTCACAAAGTAATCTTTAATAAGCACAATTAAAATTTTAGATAGAATTTGTATCCAAGTAAGCATATTTTGGGTTCATTTTGTGTTCTGTTTGCTATGGCACAGAGATTTCTTACAATTCTATGTATTGTCATCCTATTTCATCCCCAATCAATTACTGATGTAGCTAAGAACAATCTTTAAAAGTGTCATTCTCTTGACCTAAGACTTATCATGTAGACAATCTAAAGGGATGACTTTAGGAATGATGCAATGAAGGGCAACAATCTGCTTGGCTCCATTTTAAATAAGTGGTGTCTCAAATGTCATTTAGCTAAAAATTAGGAATTGGCTCAACTGAGGTTCCAAACTTTGCCAATTACTTTGGTGTGTGGGTGTGGGTGTTTCCGGGGAATAGAGCATTTATTTGCACAGGGGTTCATTTGCTTTTTATAATGAAAAAGAAGAACAAACCTATAATACGAGCCAGTAGTGTGCTGCAGCTGCCAAAAAAGCCAACACATAGGCTGTATAAACAGGGGGATAAAATCAAGGTCACATGAAGTGTTAATACCACTTTATGATGCCTTGGTTAAGGCCACACTTGGAATTCTGCATTCAGTTTTGGTCCCACGATGTAAAAAAGATTTTGAGACTCTAGAAAGAGTGCACAGAAGAGGAACAAAGATGAGTTGACTGGAAGCTGGAAGCTAAAACATACAAAGGTTGCTGGAACTGCTAGTCTGATGAAAAAAAGGACTAGGGGAGACATGATAGCAGTGTTCCAATATCTCAGAGGTTGCCACAAAGAAGAGGGAGTCAAGCTATTCTCCAAAGCACCTGAGGGTAGGACAAGAAGCAATGGGTAGAAACTAATAATATTGCTTAACGCCTTGTAAGCCGCCCTGAGTCTCCGGAGAAGGGCGGCATATAAAAATAAAATAAATAAAATAAAATAAAATAAAATAAAATAAAATAAAATAAAATAAATAAAAATCAAGGAGAGAAGCAACCTAGAACGAAGGAGAAATTTCCTGACAGTGGGAACAATTAATCAGTGCAACAACTCTTTTCCAGAAGTTGTGAATGCTCCAACACAGGGAGTTTTGAAGAAGAGATTAGACAACCATTTGTCTGAAATGATATACAGTTTCCCATCTGAGCAGGGGGTTGGACTAGAAGACCTCTAAGGTCCCTTCCAACTCTCTTATTCTATGTGTAAATAATAGTTCTACTAAAGCTTACAATGTTCCTTAGCAGAAGGCATGTATGGTATATAAAGCAGCATTTGTCAGAGAATGGAAATGAGTGTTGAAAAGAAATTATAAATTAAAGACATTGATAAGACTTTGGTTTGTGGTTTTGCAGCATTTGTAATAAAAAGAATGATGGTTTGGAGAATTAGTGAAAAAAATCATTCCGCAAACAAATTAAATTGGATGAAGCTTTCCCTCTTTTTTTTTTCCAGCTTCTATAGAAAATGTTGATTGCTGTGACCTGAACTGTTGCACTTTATTTTTCTTTCCTTTTTTTCTTTTAAAGGAATGATTGGGAGCCTCCAGACAAAAAAATAGACTCGAGGAAGCACTGGGCTGAACCTAAAAGCATTTATGAATATCGTCCAGGGATGTCCTCAGTTCTGGACAATGAAACATTGGTAATGGTAATTAATTTTGATTTTATTTTTTTGTGCATATTTTCTATTGGGCTCTGTGGATTTGGTTCCTGCCTGAAATAGTATCTCCTGAAAGCTTGCAAAGAAACTGCAGAGGTGGGTTTCAGCAGGTTCTGACCAGTTCTAGAGAACTGGTAGAGGAAATTTTGAGTAGTTCGGAGAACCGGTAGTAAAAATTCTGACTGGCCCCACCCCCATCTATTTTCTGCCTCCCAAGTCCCAGCTGATCGGGAGGAAATGGGGATTTTGCAGTAACCTTCCCCTGGATTGGGGAGGGAATGGAGATTTTACAGTATCCTTCCCCTGGAGTGGGGTGGGAATGGAGATTTTACAGTATCTTTCCCATGCTATGCCCACCAAGCCACACCCACCAAGCCATGCCATGCCCACCAAGCCACACCCACAGAACCGGTAGTAAAAAAATTTGAAACCCACCACTGAGAAACTGGTCAAGAGGTCATGGTTTTAGAGTAGAAAGGCCTAATGAGGAATTGTGTGAGGTTTTCCCCTTGGGAGGAACCTGAGAAGCCATGTTCCTATGTGGAGATCGTAGATTATGGGGCAATGCTTGATAGGCCTTCATGGGACTGATTGCCTTTCACTGCATTCTGAATGAGTAGTAAGATAGCGCTGCTGCTCTCAATCCCTTATTGAGTCACTACTACATCACAACTGGCAAGGGCAGGAAGGAAGAAGAGGGAGAGGCAGTTTGGCACACTGGCAGGCAGGCAGGCAGGCAGGCAGGAACCAGCCCCTCTCCTATTGGGAAGACGAGTGCTCCTTGTGCTACAGGTAAATTACTTGTAAATATCATTACCATTCAGATAATGGAAATACTGCTGTTTCTTCATTCCCCTGTGAATAAGGGAAGACTTTCTCTCTTTTGTGCCAACTTTTTTTTTGCTGCAGGATCTCAGACCACAAATAAACCAATTATCCAGTTTTTCCTGAATGGACGGAAGGGAAAAGATGATATTTTTTTTCCCCTTTCTCTTCTGGCTACAGCAGCCAAACTACTGGGGAATGAAACATTATTTTCTCTCTCACTGTTCATCTTCATATAAAATGGAGGGATATTTTCCAGGGGTGAAATCCAGCAGGTTCTGACAGGTTCTGGAGAACCGATAGCGGAAATTTTGAGCAGTTTTGAGAATCGGCAAATACCACCTCTGGCTGGCCCCAGAGTGGGGTGGGAATGGAGATTTTGCAGTATCCTTCCCCCAGGAGTGGGGTGGGAATGGAGATATTGCAGTATCCTTCCCCTGCCACGCCCACCAAACCACACCACGCCCACCAAGCCACGCCCACAGAACCGGTAGTAAAAAAAATTGGATTTCACCACTGATATTTTCCCTCTTTCTCTTATTAGTATTTTACAAGAGATATTACCAAATACGCACTTCTTGAAAAGGACAGGTTTTATTTCCTAAAGTTCTGTATATACAGCAAGCTGTAAGAGAAGGAGGAGTCAACTCAGATTGTTAGAAGGGCTGTTAATAAGCCAGTCCAAAATCTGTGAAGACTGATAGGTCAATAAATAAAATATATTCTTAACCCTTGGGTGATGTTTCTACATGCCACAGCTTCTAAAAGCGAGCTACTTTTAAAGAACAAGATCATTCAGAAGTTTGTGCAATCAAGAAAACAAATCTCAGATTCAAATTCTATGAAAAAGCTCTACCTAAAAGTTGGCGGTTTTAAAAAAATCTATTAAAAAAGCTTGGCTGTATTTTAAAACACGAGTAACAAATCTGTGATTTATTCCCCCTGCAGTGTGGCCACTAGACTAGTTTCCTTGACTGTAATTTGGTGACCAAGGGGAATTTTAAAAAATAGAATGGTTTGGAAGTGTTAAATTAGATGCAGTCACTGAATATATATCACTTTGATGCAGTGACAGAGTTGTCAAGAACAAATTTGGCATCTGTTTTTATTGGCTAACCTCAATAAATTGTGGGAATGCTGTGAACATAATAACACTGATTTCAGTTAAGCATTCAGCAAAATTCCCTGTTGAATCTGAATTAACAAACTAGTTAAATATGACCTAGATAATATCACACTTTTGAATCCAGATTTCCTTTAAAAATGTTTGTTGTTCAAATGGAGGGGGTTGTCACATGTGGATACCAAGCCTTTAAATGTTGGGTGACTATTTTCAACTTGGATAACAGCATGGAGAGAACAGGGGTGGGTTCTACTTACCTTTACTACTGGTTCGCATCGTGCCCGCGCAGATCACTTCTGATGACGTCCAGATCAGTGGACGGAGCCTCCCACCGGTTTTACTACCGGTTCTTACAAACCGGTCCAAACTGGGAGCAACCCACCACTGGCAGAGAATACTTAACAAATTTCCAGGTAGAACAAATTTGAACAGGACTGCTACAAGACACAAACTACACTCAAAATGATCTTTTGAATTGTTTCTTAGGAATTTGATTTAACAAACAAATGTGAAGCATTTTTCTAAGGAAATATCCAGGAGTAGAATTCGCTATAGCTAGCTTGCTAGTAGCACTTGTGAAGAGCATCTTGGAATTGGAATTGATAATCAGGTTAATATGAGTGTGATATGGAAACAAAAGACATTGCTAACTTGGGACTGTATTAGCGCCACTCTACATATTCTGGGTTGGTTCCACTGTATCTTATATACCAAGGCTGTGTCTTAAGAACTGTTTCATGTATTCTTTATTTCTTGTACAGTAATTCTAAGAACTGCATGTCATTAATTTTATATTTTTTCCTTAACATGGAATACAGTAGCAAAATATGACTCCTTCTTAACTGTCATATTGTTCCTGGTATATCCAATTTAGATATACCATTCTTAATTGTTATTTGAATTCTTAACCCATAATTATGCATGAAATGTTGGCAATTTCTTAAGAGTAGAAGCTTTTCACTCTCTTTTTTTAGGAAATTATCTGTTTCCCTTAGCAAATTCACCATTAACACCTCTGCTGTCTAAATGTACCCTCTTTGGAGCAAGATTTCCCAACCGTGGCAACGTGGACTCCAAGTCCCAGAATTCCTTTGCCAGCTATATGGTGTAGAGCAGAGGTGGGGAACCGTGGCCGCTTTATGACTTGTGAACTTCAACTCCCAGAATTCCTGAGCCATCATGGTCATAAAAGTCATTAAATGGCCATAGTTCCCCACCCCCGGTGTAGATTTTTACCTTTTCATGTGCTATTTTTGAGACAGGCCTTCTCACTTACCTTATGTGCTGTTAAAGATGCCATGCTCTATATAAATAAGGTAATATGTTGCAATGGGAGTGGAGTAAAAAATGAATCATGTTCAGAGAATGATATTATCCAGCAGCTGAGGAAATAGAAATCTTGACTGTTTCAAGTAAAGTGAAATCTGTTTCAAGTAAAGTGAAATCTCTAATCTTTGGAGATTAGAGATGGAATTTTAGACTTTGTTCACATGTTGTATTAGTAGAAGGACCTGTCATGTTGATTCCTCCACTCTTATTACTGTTGACAATTCATAATCTTCCAGTCATTCCCCCATGTATTTTTGTTTTTGCTTAGCCTGTGAAGTTGTACCACTAGAATTCTGGAGGAAGTGATTATTTAACTTGAAATATACATTGAAGTTAAATATGCAGGAAGTGATAATTTATTTGTTTAATGAAAAGAAGGACTAAGGGTGACATAATAGCAGTGTTCCAATATCTAAGGGTTTGCCACAAAGAAGAGGGAGCCAATCTATTCTCCAAAGCACCTGAGGGTAAGACAAGAAGCAATGGGTGGAAACTAATCCAGGAGAGAAGCAACTTAGAACTAAGGAGAAATTTCCTGACAGTTAGAACAATTAATTAGTGGAACAACTTGTCTCCAGAAGTTGTGAATGCTCCAACACTGGGACTTTTGAAGAAGAGATTGGACAACCATTTGTCTGAAATGGTATACGGCTTCCTATCTGAGCAGGGGGTTGGACTAGAAGACCTCTAAGGTCCCTTCCAACTCAGTTATTCTGATATCTCTTATTTCTTTACTGTTTTTCCTGTTTTAGAAAAATAACACAAATATGTGGATAGGTTCTTTTTTGTTAGGAAATACCTTTCTTTAAAGACAACAATGCACTCCCATTTTTTGTTTACTTAGAAATGAGTGTAACTAAACCTATTCCCAGTGAAGTATGAATAAGATTGCAAATTGTTATTAAAATTATGGGTGTGACCTTCCAGTTTGATAACTAAGAAACTATTGAAAAAAAATTACAGAATGTGGCACCTTTAACAGTCTTCCTATGCATTCTTTGCATAATATTGTCCTTCTCTTTCTTCCACTCTTATATTACCAACTCTTTAGCCTCGGGATATAAGCTCAGAAGATATAGATTTAAAGAATGAGCCTTGGTATAAATTCTTTTCGGAATTGGAGTTTGGGAAACCGGTAAGTTGATAGTCCCAAGCATTAATAAATAAGATTTTGTTATGGATTTCTTTTCCATCTTCACTGTATGCATAGTGGAACAAAAATTAACTCATCCTGGTTTAGCCAACTTAATTATACTGTTAAAAAGAGTTATTATTGTATAAGCTATAGTGTGTGTATCTTTTGGGAAAATCATGCAGGCCAGGTTTTGAAAATCAAACTGAAGGAATATCAACAAATTTGTAACTATAAGATACTATGGATGTTTTCTATAGGTCTTCTAGAATTACATTTCAAGCTGTAATTTAATTCTACAACCATGAGGAGTAAATTCAGTTACCTTGTTTTTCCAACTCGTATGCTTTTCAAATTTTGTTTTTGCTAACAAGTAGGAAGGGAGAATATCAGAAAGTATTTTCATTTTGAAGTTCTCATTTTTATCTTGTATTGAATGAATCGGTTGGTTATAGAAGGCCTTATATGAGAGGACTGCATGGATTTTATGTGGGATCTATTTTCCAAAGGAAAACGTACCAATTAAAGGTTTCTTCCAAAAGGCAGTTCAATAGTTGAAAACATTATTTGGTAAAATTTAGTGGTTGATTTACTACCTTTCTTTTTATGAAGCTGAAGGCAATGTACACAGAGCTGGGCTAAGACAGTGGTTGTCCCAGAATCACCCAGTGCAATCTGGGCTTAATGCTTCCTTTATCTCATATGTTATTTAGTTTTATAAAGTGGCATTTTTTTTGTCAAAAGAACAACACAAGAAAACGCACACAGTGTTCTGTATAAATCAGACTGGGAGGCTTAGTTAATTCGTATTGATTCTTTGACCAAATGGAGGCATTTGGTTCCTTTACTTGGTGTCTGCTTTTATTTGTGGAATTGGTATTGGGCAACACATGGATAAGATTTTCAAGTAAGGCAAGGGTTTGTTTTTACCCTTCTTAATTGACTCATATTTTTATGAACTGGTCTGAGCAATAAAGTGGAGGAGGGTCAGATATCCATTGAAGACGAGGCCCTTCCCAGGAAGGCTTATCCCCATGCAGGGGTGGGCTGCTGGGGATTCGCAGGGGTTCTAGGAGAACTTCTAGCTAAGATTCTGTCCAGTTTGGAGAACCCCCAAATCCCACTCCTGGCTGGCCCCGCCCACCCTGCCTCACCCCTCCCAGAAATCCCCATGCGGCCTGTTTTGGATGCAGGTAAGTGCAAGGCACACACGGAGGCTCGAGGAGGGTGAAAAACGGGCCTATCGGAAGTCCAGGAGGACCAGAAATGGGCCTGTTTCTGGCCTCAGAGGGCCTCTGGAGCCTGGGGGGGGGGGGCGTTTTTGCCCTCCCAGAGTCTTGAGAAAAGCCTCCGGAGCCTGGGATGGGCAAAAATGAACCCTCGTGATGCAGGAGATCGACTAGGCCACGCCCACCATGGCCACACATACTCAGCAACTGGACAGAGAACCCCTTGCTAAAATTTTTGAAGCCCACCCCTGTCCCCAGGGCTCTCTCGAGACATTCCCTCAAAGAAGAGACTTTTAGCAAGTGCTTTCTGGATATCCTATTGGCTTATTTTTAAGTAAGTGTAAATAAAATGAAACCAGATTTGGAATTCGTTCTGCCAAGAACCCACTTGTTACTTTTGAAGAGTGGTGAAATTTTCAATCGCGGGGGGAATCCGTTACTGATATAAGTGGAAAATTATGTCAGATTATTCACTATGATGAATGCAAGGCAAAAGGCTTGAAAATGAACCACACAGCCAAATTATAGGTAACAGCATTCCTTGAAACACCCAATTCCCCAGCTCCATCGTCAGCCATGGCACATGGCATCAGTATTGCTTTTTGACAAAGGATAATAGTCGCATTGACTTCAAGAGCCACAAGTTTCCCCGAAAATAAGACCTCCCTTGGATAATAAGCCCAATTGGGCTTTTGAGCGCATGCATTAAAATAAGCCCTCCCCAAAAATAAGCCCTCCCCAAAAATATTTAAACGTGTGCACAGCCAGTCCCTGCCATTTCCTCTGGTTAGGGTTAGGGAGACAGAGCTGGAAATCAGATCAGATGGCAAGAGGAGCCCCATCTTTTTCCATGCGCCCCAAAATAATAAGACCTCCCTGAAAATAAGGCCAAGTGCTTATTTCGGGGTTCAAAAAAAATATAAGACAGGGTCTTATTTTCAGAGTAACACGGTAGCTTTTTGAACAACAGAAAGCTAGAACTTAGCAAACGGAGAACATTTTATACAACAGAAAGATGGAAGTGGCAACTGAATATTGAAAAGCTGAGTTTGACAATAAGTACTAATCCAGTATTCATTAGAGTTGTGGACAGCAAGGAAACCAGTATGCACTTTGGTATAAACCGAGTAGTTTTCTTCACTATATGTAAAATTCTATACTGCTGTGCAGAAGGATCCCTGTTGTTCAAGGAACAAAGTAATAGTATTTGGATATTTTAACTGAATGTAACTGAATTAGTCTACATAAGAACACATGTTGTTTAGGAAAGCCAAATTATAAAATGAAATGGTCCTCTGTGTAAGACCCTTTTTAACCTCCCAGAAGAAACTGGGTAGAAATATCTTTTCTTTTATGTACACCGAGAGCTTATGCACCAAGACAAATTCCTTGTGTGTCCAATCACACTTGGCCAATAAAGAATTCTATTCTATTCTGTATAACATTATATTTCATAAACAACTTGTAAAAATTATCGTCATATTCGGTATATTCCAACCTGGAAAATCTGAGGGCAAGTTGAAGGTGCAGAACTCCAGATTGAGACGGATGGAAATTGTATTATTTTAATGAATTTAAATCTCTTAAATCTGAATGAATTGCATCAAAAAACAATGAAGGAGCCTGTTGATTTTACCTTTTCAAACTCTGGAGAACTTGGTAAAGTGCCAAATGCCTGAAGGTGTCAGGGTTCTAAGTAACACCCCCAATGAAAGGAGACTCCGAGGCTAGAAGTTCCTCTAAGTTCCATTTTTATTAGAGATGTCATATTGGCACATCTGGGAAAACCCAAATCTGAAAGCTTCCAGGCTTTCCCCACCCAAAGGAAAGTCCAAGTTCCTTCCCCTGCACCCACATGTCCATCACATGGTCCAATCAATGCACCGTCCCAACTGGAGATGCCTCCCAGTCACATCACTCCAGGTGCAGGGCAAGATGGCCTTGACTCTCTGAGAAAGGAATGTTATTAGGACTATGTATCACCCATGCTCCATACAATCCCTCCTCCCAGTTTCCCACAGCAGTAAATGTGGCAGGCCTGAAGACCCAATGCAAAATATGGCTTCCAGAGATAACACTCAAAACAATGAAGGAGCCTGTTGATTTACCTTTTCAAACTCTGGAGAACTTGGTAAAGTGCCAAATGCCTGAAGGATGACAGATATTTCCCTGTCTTCTGTAGAGGCAAAGGAGAACTCGTGGAACTGCCAACCATTGCATTTGAAATATTTATTTTCATTTGGTTATATTTGAATTTTTAATATACACTAGTGACCCGTAGTGACTGTTGCCAGATGGGCAACCATCTAAATTAACTGAAAGAAAAATAAATAAACAAATTGGAGAACAAAAAACTTCAAACATTCATATTTGTTCATTCTATCCAAAATGATATTTGTCTACACCAATGTAAACAATGGGAGAAGCTTTGCTAATGTAAATTAAGAAATAGAAAATAGATTTGAATAAAAATATATCGTTTTTCAAAGCTCTTTGCTCTTGGGTTGATTCCTCATCTGAAATAATTTCATACACTTTTAAATATTATTATTATTATTATTATTATTATTATTATTATTATTATTATTATATTAGATTTTTATACCACCCTTCTCCCGAAGGACTCAGGGCGGTGAACAGCCAGGATTAAAATACATACAATATGAAAATTAAAATAATTTAAAAATAATTAAATCAATTTGACTTCCCAATTTTAAAACACCTTACCCATAAAATTAATCAATTAAAATTTTAAGCCAGCCCGGCTTGCTGAAACAAGAAAGTCTTCAGAGCCCGGCGGAAAGTACGGAGGTCCGGGATCAGTCGTATCCCTGGGGTAGCTCGTTCCAGAGGGTGGGTGCACCCACAGAGAAGGCTCTCCCCCTGTGGGTCGCCAGTCGACATTGCTTGACCGACGGCACCCTGAGGAGACCCTCTCTGTGGGAGCATATTGGCCGGTGGGAGGTTATCGGTGGCAGAAGGTGGTCTCGTAGATACCCAGGCCCTAAGCCATGGAGCGTTTTAAAGATGAGAACCAAAACCTTGAAACGCACCCAGAAGACCACTGGAAGCCAGTGCAGCTCGCACAGGAGAGGTGTTACATGGGAGTGCCATGTATGATTGACTCAAGAAAGGTATACTTTGGTTTTCTGATATTTTCAATAATAAAGTTGATAATATATTGCATGGTGTTATGCCAACAGTAAAATTCATAACTTAAGACCGTTGAGACAAAATGAATAACGGAATGCCAACTGGAAGTGGTAAAATCTATCAATGATTATATTTACTCCAATGCACAATTATTACATATTATGTAATTTTAGAAAATATGTGGGCGAAACCAATTTGGTGTAGTGGATAAGGCACCAGGCTAGAAGCTGGGAGATCATGAGTTCTAGTCCCACTTTATATACCAAGCCAACTGGATGACGTTGGGCCGGTCATTTTATCTCAGCCCTAGAAAGGAGGTAATGGCAAACCACTTCTGCAAAACCTTGTCAAGAAAACTGCAGGTAGTTGCCCAAGAGTCAATACTGACATGAAGGCACACATATAGATCAAAAGAAAAAAAAAATCCAAGTGAGATTATCTTTTGGGTTGATTTTTCATGGCTTTCATGAATTTTATGCCCATTTATAAATCCCTAATCCTTTTCCCAGAATGTTTTCTACTTTCAAGAAAAAGTCTAAAATATCATTATAATTTGACATGAGTTTTCAGAGATATTTACTTTGCTATCACTCGTGTATCCTCCCAACACTAACCAATCTGTATCACTGCTGTGCACCCCGAACCCCCCATGTCATCCCTCCATACAGCCTCTCCTTCCCCACCGGGCAGAAACCCCTTACCTGTCTGCTTGCCTAGAACTTCCAACTTCCTGCTGACTTCCTCATTGATTTTCTTTGTGCAAAGCTGGCAGTGGAAGTGATGATCACATGACTGCATCTGACTGCAGCAGTCGAAGGGGCTACAGCTTTTTCAAATTTCAATTCCATAGGAATAATAGGTCCTGTAAATTAACCCATTTGAAGTACCTTGCTTCAAAAAGTGTTGCCCTGTGATGCACTTGAAGGTTACAAACAAACACAAGATTTTTACAGTACCCTGTTTCCCCCAAAATAAGACATCCCCTGATAATAAGCCCAATTGGGCTTTTGAACGCATGGCAATAAGGCCAAGCGCTTATTTCAGGGTTCAAAAAAATATAAGGGTCTTATTTTCGGGGAAACATGGTAGTAGTATAACAGTAGATTGTAAAGACTTCAGAAGTATTAGAACTATTCATCAAAATTTTTAATGGTGGCGATGGATGGGATTTGATAAAGCTTATGGAGAAAGGATCCAACTTTCAATTAAGATAAGAGACAACCCAAGATTTGATTATTCAGCGAATTTCAAAACCAATTCTATAAAATACTTCCACCAGAAATAACTGCTTCATCCTTAAATCTGTACAATCCTTTATCTTCAATTCTGTATCAATTTATCCAGATTCTTCAAAACTTAGAAGGGAGATCAAGTACTATCTCTAACTTTTCCAAATATCCATGGTAAATTATAGATATAGATTTGTAGTAGTAAATACTCATTTCTTGAAAAAAAATTCACTTTGTAATAACTAGCCGTTATCAGAATTTTTAATCACATTATTGTTTTAACTGAAAAGTAATAAAGTGATATTTCAAATTTGATATGATTATTTCATGATTGTTTTGAGTATCTACCAACTTGCCTGGATACTTCTGACTGGAGTTTTTTGAGCAATTGTTCAATGAATAAGCTACGTATTTGCAAGATTTGTTTCTTTGACCCAATTTGCAAGATTTCTGCAAGATAGTTTTCAAATGCCTTATGAGAGAGGAAGTTGGGAAAATACTTTTCGATATTTGATACCCGCGTTTCCCTGAAAATAAGACTGGGTCGTATATTAATTTTTGCTCCAAAAGACACATTAGGGCTTATTTTCTGGTTAGGTCTTATTTTTTGGGAAATATGGTACTAAATGCACCCATCTGGCTGACAATCTTAACTGGGGCTTATTTTGAGGGTAGGGCTTATATTATGAGCATCTTGAAAAATCATGCTAGGACTTATTTTGCGGTTGGGTCTTATTTTCGGGGAAACAGGGTAAATCATCTTCATATTCATGTTCAGAGACAAACTCCTGCCTGAGGTTCACACTAGAACAAAGAATTAAGGGCACTATGATCTCCTGTCCTGCCTGGTCTTCTGGGGGTTACGTAGAATTTACCCTGTTTCTGTATAATTATATTTCTCCCCTTAAGCCTTCCAAATATTACAAGTCAGAAACTTTTAACCCTAATGTCTCTGGGATCTTTTAATAAGTTCATGGCATCTCATCCATCTCTGAATGAGATTCTTTGAATCATAGAGGATAAATTGTATAGGATAGTAGGCCAACTGTTGGTGAAGAATACGTAAGAATAGAATTATACTGTACATTGTACAACTATACATCGTGTAGACATACCATGTTTCCCTGAAAATAAGACCCTGTCTTATATTTTTTTGAACCCTGAAATAAGTGCTTGGCCTTATTTTGGAGGAGGTCTTATTATTTTGGGGTGCGTGGAGCAAGATGGGGCTCCTCTTGCCATTTTACCTGATTTCCAGCTCTGTCTCCCTAATCCTAACCAGAGGAAATGGCGGGGACCGGCTGTGCATGCAGTTAAATATTTTTGGGGAGGGCTTATTTTTGGGGGGGTGGGCTTATTTTAGTGCATGCACTCAAAAGCCCGATTGAGCTTATTATCCGGGGAGGTCTTATTTTCAGGGAAACGGTATATATCGTATAGACATATTTGTTTGCTTTTCTTTTGGGAACAAAAATTATCTTTTTTGAAATGATTACCAAATTATATTTGTTAAAACTACTGTTCCTATGAGGATTGTAGAGATTTGTAGTAGTTATAAAGTCGTTGCTTCAAGCGAACCAGAACAAGGCTGCACAGTTTTCCTTGCTATAATCTGTGGTTGTTCTCCAGAGCAGGTTGTTTACTTTTCTCTTTCTTTTCACTTTTTATTTCTGATGTTGATCCAATTTCCCCCCAATATACTCTTTCTGCACTAGTTGAGTTTCCATATTCTCTGTGATGTCTTTCTTTATCTTCATTTCCTCATTTCCTCCTTTGCTTTCCATCAGCCTCCAAAAAAGATATGGGATTATACTCCTGGAGATTGCTCTATCCTTACTAGAGAGGATAGAAAGGTAATTTGAATATATAATGTATGCAATATAGTTGTGTGTGTGTATATTAGAGCTTATCTTTCCTCTGTAGCAGTGTTTAAATTGGAGTGCTTTGAATTTAATGGAACCTATATATATATATATCTATATGTGATGAACTGCAACCCCCAAAATACTGTAATCTCTGGCTAGATCAGAGCATATTTCATTTTTGTGACATGTAGTAATTTTTTCTAGTATGAATGCGTTTTAAATTTATTTTCTAATAAAAAAATAGGAGAAAATTGATCTTGAAAATTTCAGCAGTGAACCTTCTAAGCCGTATTTGAATATGTAGAAAGTATTCGAATGTTGTCCTATGTAGGGCACAGTTTCTTATGAAAAGTGTTGGACAATTCTTCAGCCTTTCCTCCTTTTCCTTTTTTTAACCAGGTTGATCCAGGAAAAAACCACTGCCTCTATCATACTGAATTAGATGCAGAGATAGACAAAATGGAGAAGCTTTATAAAGCCCCAGAGCAACTGAAGGTATCTCACGTTGCTTATTTTCTAAACTTTCTAGTGGAGATGTTGCTGGATATCACCTGTTCTTATAAGCAATAGTATGCTAACCATTCCCCAGTTACGGTAATCGGTATAACACAGCGGTGGGTTCTACTTACCTTTACTGCAGGTTCGTATGTGCAGATCGCCAATGACAACATCCAGGGTGGTGGGCGTGGCCTCCCATCAGTTTTACTACCGGTTCTTGCGAACCAGTCTGAACCGGGGGCAACCCACTACTGGTATAACTAGTAGCATGTGCTGGTTGTCACCTTTAAAGCCCTTCATAGCTTGGGACCAGGTTATCTGACTGACGTTTCTTGCTGGTCACATCTACCTGACCCATTAGAGCAGGGATGCATGGAATGCTGCAGGTCCCGTCTCCGAGGGAGATACACTTGATGGGACCCAGAAGAAGGGCCTTCTCTGTGGTGGCTCCCTCTCTCTGGAACATAATTCCTCCAGAGATTAGAACGGCCCCCACTCTTAATTCTCTTCCTGAGGGCGCTGAAGACCTGGTTCTGCCAGCGGGCCTGGGAAACCCAGAACGGTATTGAGCCCATTAAATGGCTTGTGTGATCGGCTGTTGCTGGGACGGGAGGTTGTGGGTGATTTTATTACATTAATTTATTTGATTGTTTTATTAGTTTTACTATTTTTAAATGTGGTTTTTATATTCTGTAAGCCGCCTTGCATTTCCATGGGCAAATAGGTGGCAATATTAGATAGATAGATAGATAGATAGATAGATAGATAGATAGATAGATAGATAGATAGATAGATAGTATTAACCATGTTCAGATACAATCTGAAGTAGTAGCCATGTTCAGATACAATCCTAAACTATGTCCAGCTCATACTGTACATTCTCTTTTTTTCCTTGCCATTTGTTTTTTCTGTTTGGTGATGGTGGTTGCTATGAACAACCAGAGAACAGGGCGACATGAGGCAGAGGAAGGCTAATAGCAGATAGAAGTAAAATTCAGCAGCACTGCAGAAGTTCTGATTTTAAGAATAAGGAAACCCAGTTCTCTATATGTACTGTACATTTCTCTGCTGTAAGAGAAATCAGAGCCAGTCCAAGGAAACAATAAGGTTAAGGATCAGTGGTGGGTTTCTACCAGTTCACCCTGGTTCCGCGGCACCACTACCAGTTTACACCGGTAGTGGTGGCGGCGGGAGGCTCCACCCACCTGCCCGGACATCCTTACGGATGCTCTACGCATGCGCAGAAGTGCCGCGTGCTCACAGTTCCAAACTGGTAGCAAAGGTAAGTAACACTACTGTTAAGGATCCCTACTTTGCTTTCAACAGTGTCTGAATACAAGACATTTTATATTTGCCAGAGGGATGACTGCTTCCTGACAATGTCCGTGACATGGAAACCTTCCTTCCTCCAATCTGAAGTGCCTCCTTGCCTCTTCATTTGTTCTAATGAGGAAAACCTATAAAATCTGCCAGATGATTGGCACTGCTGTCTGTATGTCAAGAGACTTCCTAGCTCCACTTTGGCAGTCGGGACAATCTGTTGTCCATTGAAGGGAAATATCACCATTTCTCACCACCTCCTGTGCTCCATTGAATCTTTCCATTTTCACATGAGACAAAGGATTGATGGAAGGGCTGTAATAAGCTATCAGAGGACTAGGGCTTCTGTTGTCCATTGTTTGAAACTGATCTTCCTTTACTTTCTGAATGTAATATATGCCACAATGAACACAGCCATTCGGAAATCCTTTGAATAGAAGTCTGTTACTTGCTTATTCGTTTGTAATTTTTGTGCTTGTAATATGACCATTCTGCTGATCCTGTAAAAATAGCGCCTTTTAAATGCATGTTTACTTTTTTCCAATCAGTCTTCCCCTAATCAGCATTTCAGAAGCTATTTTGTTTTTATACACTGCTAGATAACTAGAGAGGGATAATATTGCCATGTTGTTTTGATTTCCAGCTTGTAGAAGTTCAATTTAGTTTTATAACCTAAAGTCTATATTTTGATTACTTTTAAACGTTTTTGTTTTAAAAAATAGCTAACCTCAAAAAATTGAATTTATCCTTGTCTTTTTATTTTGTGTAAGCATTTAAGAGGGATGCGGTGAATCAGTAGCTAAGACACTGAGCTTGCTGAAAGGTCGGCAGTCTAGCGGTTCAAATCCCTAGTGCCACATAATGGGGTGAGCTCCCGTTGCTTCTCCTGGCTTCTGCCAACCTAGCAGTTCAAAAGCATGTAAAAAATGCAAGTAGAAAAATAGGGACCACCTTTGGTGGGAAGGTAACAACCTTTGGCGTTTAGTCATGCCGGCCACATGACCATAGAGATGTCTTCGGACAGCGCTGGCTCTTCGGCTTAGAAACGGAGATGAGCACCATCCCCTAGAGTCGGGAATGACTAGCACATATGTGCGAGGGGAACCTTTACCTTTAAGCATTTAAAGCAGATTCTAACAGTAAATGATGCAGAGTATAAAACATTACTCTTAATGTTAAGAACAGATGAAGTCAACAATAGAAACATTACCCGTTTGTTCATTCAGATTTTACTGCAAAAAATCAGAACATTTCTTCAAGCTTTCATGGACCCTCTGTGTTGACATTGTCGTCCCCAGGGGTCCAGAGATTGAAAACCACTGGCATAATCATTAATTTGTTTTATTTATCTTTAGGGTTTTACCTAAACATTCACAGGCAAAAGAGTAAGCTTTATATCTACAGTATGGATTGTATGAATTTTGCATGATTCACCTTGTACCTGCTTACTGGCAAAGACTTAAAACCACAAAACCAACAATTAAATCAGTGAAGACTTGGACTGAGGAGGCAAAATTAAAGCTACAGGCTTGCTTTGACTGCACTGATTGGAATATTTTTGAAGATACCTCTGCAGACCTGGATGAACTCACAGAGACTGTAACATCATATGTCAGCTTCTGTGAAGACCCAGGAACTTGTGAATATATAGTAACAACAAACCTTGGTTCATAGCTAAACTTAAGCAGCTATATCGTTCCAAGGAGGAAGCCTACAGAAAACGTGATAAAATGCTGTACAATCAGGCCAAAAATGTATTAACAAGGGAGAGCAGAGCAGCAAAAAGAAGCTACTCTGAAAAGCTAAAGAATCAATTCTCAACAAATGAACCAGCAAACATGTGGAAAACTCTTTAAAATATCACCTACTACGGCAAACTTCCTTCCCAGGCTGAAAGAAATCAACAACTGGCAGATGACCTGAACTCGTTTTACTGCAGGTTTGAAAGGAAACTACAGCCACCTATCTCCACAACCCCCAGGTCAGACACACCAACAACAGCCAAGCCTCCTACAACTGACCCCATCCCATTGGGTTCACAACCCCTAGTGATCACAGAAAAGGAAGTGCAAGACCTATTTCACAGACAAAAGCCAGGAAAAGCTCCAGGTCCAGACAAGATAACTCCTTCTTGTTTAAAAGTCTGTGCTGACCAATTGGCCCCCATCTTCACCCGTATCTTCAATAAATCGCTAGAGATGTGCTATGTTCCTTCTTGCTTCAAATGCTCTACTATCATCCCAGTGCCAAAGAAGCCCACCATCAAGGAACTGAATGACTACAGACCAGTTGCTCTAACATCTGTAGTCATGAAAACCTTTGAAAGGCTAGTGCTGTCCCACTTGAAAACCATCACGGATCGGCTGTTAGACCCCTTGCAATTTGCATACCGAGCAAGTAGATCAACTGATGATGCTGTTAATATGGCTCTGCACTACATCCTACAACATCTTGAATCTCCAAAAACCTATGCAACGGTCCTCTTTGTAGACTTTAGTTCAGCATTCAATACCATCATTCCAGACACTCCTCTAACTAAGCTAAACCAGCAACAGATACCTGAACACACTTGCAAGTGGATCATAAGTTTCCTAACAAACAGGAAGCAGCAGGTGAAGCTAAGCAGAATCACATCAGATACCTGTACAATTGGCATAGGGCCCCCCCAAGGCTGTGTGCTCTCCCCACTTCTCTCTATACACCAATGACTGCATCTCTAACGATCCATCTGTTAAAGTTTGACACAAAGATGACACAACAGTGATCGGTCTCATTCGAGACAATGATGAATCTGCATACAGATGGGAGGTTGAACAGCTAGCCTCGTGGTGCGACTGGAACAGTCTGGAACTGAACACACTCAAAATTGTAGAAATGGTGGTAGACTTAAGGAGAAATCCTTCCATCCTTCCACCTCTCAAAATACTAGACAATACAGTATCAACAGTAGAGACCTTCACATTTCTAGGTTCTACCATATCGCAAGATCTAAAATGGACAGCTAACATCAAAAACGTCATCAAAAAAGCACAACAAAGAATGTTCTTTCTGCGCCAACTCAGAAAGCTCAAACTGCCCAAGGAGCTGCTGATTCAGTTCTACAGATGAATTATTGAGTTTGTCATCTGCACCTCTATAACTGTCTGGTTTGGTTCTGCAACCCAACAAGATAGACACAGACTTCAGAGGATAATTAGAACTGCAGAAAAAACAATTGCTACCAACCTGCCTTCCATTGAGGACCTGTATACTGCAGGAGTCAAAAAGAGGGCTGTGAAAACATTTATAGACCCCTCACATCCTGGACATAAACTGTTTCAACTCCTACCCTCAAAACAACGCTATAGAGCACTGCACACCAGAACAACTAGACACAAGGACAGTTTTTTCCCGAACGCCATCACTCTGCTAAACAAATAATTCCCTCAACACTGTCAAACTATTTACTAAGTCTGCACTACTATTAATCTTCTCATCGTTCCCACCACCCATCTCCTTCCACTTATGACTGTATGACTATAACTTTGTTGCTTGGATCCTTACAATTTATATTGATATTGTTTCCTGATTGCTTATTTGTACCCTATGACTATCATTAAGTGTACCTTATGATTCTTGATGAACGTATCTTTTCTTTTATGTACACTGAGAGCATAAGCACCAAGACAAATTCCTTGTGTGTTCAATCACACTTGGCCAATAAAAAATTCTATTTTCTCTGATTAGGGAAATCCAGATTATTAGCTATTTCACAATCCGGCATAAGACCTGATAATAATAAAAAAAATCTGGAGGTTAATAATATTTTGTCTTCCGCTTTAACATAAAGTGTCCTTTAGTAACTGCTTCTTTGTCTGGATTCTTGCAGAACGCAGCAAGCTCCCCGCCACTGGAAACCCTTTCCGAGCATTTGTCTCCGTAAGTTTTGAAATATCCACTCATTTTTCTTTCTTGTGCTGAGCCAAATCATATGCTTCATAAAAGGCTTGCCATGGATTGCATATTTTATGCAATTCCTGAAATTAATTTGAAGTATGAGGTGCGTTTAGCAGTTCTCTTGGGGTACCAGAATATTGACAGTGTGTCTCTAGATGTTTTGTTTAATAATTTGCTGTTAGTTGCTGAGAAAATATGTCTTCCCTCTTATATACCAGCTACCATCCTGTAAAAAGAGAGTTGGAAACAGAATTTGGACATTCCACTGGGCTGGGAAATGAAAGGCAGATTTATAAAAGTGTTTTGGAAGGAGGAGATATCCCATTGCAAGGGTTGAGTGGCTTGAAGCGTCCATCCAGTTCAGCATCCACAAAAGGTAAAGTGAACATTGTGGTGATCAAACTATAAAGAGTAAATGCATAACATGGTATTGCACTTAAACCAAGATTCCACATGTCATAGTTCGAAAAAAAGCCTGAATGTTTTTGCATCGAAGAGCAGCTTGCATCAAAGAAAGGGTGGAGAGATCACAGATCTTTGGCTCATTATCATAATGAAGCCTTAATATTGTGATGAGCCATGGTGGCGCAGTGGTTAGAGTGCAGCACTGCAGGCTACTTCTGCTGCCTGCCAGCTGCCTGCAATTTGGCAGTTCAAATCTCGCCAGTCTCAAGGTTGACTCAGCCTTCCATCCTTCTGAGGTGGGTAAAATGAGGACCCAGATTGTTGGGGTCAATAGGCTGACTCTGTAAACCGCTTAGAGAGGGCTGTAAAAGCACTGTGAAGCGGTATATAAGTCTAAGTACTATTGCTATTGCTATCATGATCACATTGTCATTAACTTAGAGTGTATTCATTAAATCATCTCTCCTCCTTGGTTTGGTGCCACAGCATTTGTCTTTGTGAGACTTCTGTGATTGGAAATATAGCAATCAAAAATTCAGTTTCTTCAGAAGGACAAGAAGCAATAGAACTGGAAGAGGAATTGTATTCTGTGTTTTTTTTTTTTTTAAATAGCCTCTCTTCAGAAATCAAAGTGTATGAGGTTAAATCTCCACGTCCGGAATAATTCATCCAGAGTATTGAAAGAACATCTTGATGGTTTGCCAAACCTTTATAAAGTTTATCAAATACATTCACAAGATTATATATAGTGCTGGGTGACATTAGGACAGCTAATGTAACCTCCATTTTGAAGAGGAGGAAGAAGAGAATTTGGGAACTGCAGACTGGGGACATTACTTGTTAACAAGCTACTTCATTCTGTCTTGGACGGTAAGACAATTATGTGGGTGCAGAACTGGTGCAGGGTTCTTATTCTGAGTTCTCATCCATCATTTCTCACCTAGTTCTAGAGAAGAAGCAAGTGGAGCATCACAAAATTTGTCCTTGGCCTTCTGCTCTTCTGTGTTTTATAAGTGAGTTGGATGAGAAGCTGTTGGGGATGCTTAGCAGATTATAGATCACATAATTGAGTAGAGATAGTTAATGTCTTAGAAAGAGCCTTGGTAGTACAGTGGTTTAAAGCACCCTGTTATTAACACAGCTGCCTGCAATTACTGCAGGTTCGAATCTTACCAGGCTCAAGGTTGACTCAGCCTTCCATCCTTTCTAAGGTAGGTTAAATGAGGACCCAGTTTGTGGGGGCAATAAGCTGACTTTGTATAAATATACAAAAGTATGAAGGCTATCGCTTAACGCATTATAAGCCGCCCTGAGTCTCCGGAAAAGGGCGGCATATAAATCAAATTAAAAAAATAAAATCAAAATCAAAATGATGATAAAATTCATTGTTCTTTGACTGAAAATAACATGAAATTTAAGAGGTTTTTTTTTATTACAGGAACAAATTGTGTTTTTTAAAAATTGTACATGTATTCTATTGCCACCCATTTAATGGATTCTAAATGGCTTAGAGTTACCGTTTTTTTCAGAGTATAAGATGAACCTTTCCCCCCCAAAAAAGAGGGTGAAAATCTGGGTGTGTCTTATACTCGGAATGTAGCCCCGCCCAGCCTCGCAAACAGAGATTTCAGAGGCTGAAAGAAGCCTCTGAAAGAAGCTTCAGAAAAAAAGTCTCTGAAAGGCTTTTATCTAAAATAATATGACAAGCAACAAAAAAAGAATCAGTAAACCAAACTATGTTAACAAATCTGGAGAATGACACAATAACCAACAGATCAGAAGAGGTTAATCTACATACCAATACCAAAGAAAGGAGATTGAACAGAGTACAGATAGTCCTTCAGAATAAAAGCCTCTGAAAGAAGCTTCAGAAAAAAAGCCTCTGAAAGAAGAAGCTCTGATTCGGAGGCTTTCAGAGGCAGAAAAAAAAGCAAGGCACAGAGCTCATAACCAGTGAACCTGTTGCTAAAATTCACCTCTGGAAACAGCTGATTGGGGCTATTCCGGGAGGCTGATCCACCCACTAATCAGCTTTTTTCTTATTTTCCTCCCCAAAAACTAAGGTGCGTCTTATACTCCGAAAAATATGGTATATCAAATGTTTGTTGAAATAGTAGTTGATTACCAATTAACTATTCATAAGGTCAGAATGCTCATAAAATTGGAGCAGTTTTAGTACACATTCCACTTAATGAAGTTTACAGAAAAAGGTTTGCATCAGGTAAGAGGAAATTTCTACACTGCTCACATCCCTTCTTTCAAGTTCAAAGCTTTACTATTCCACCTATTTTGTGGTCATGTTTCACAAATGGGAAAATAGAAAGCTGTGTAAACCTCTACAGTTTATTAATTAACAGCAAGAAAAAGATTGTGCTGAAAGTAAGTCAAAAGAACATCCAAAAGAAGGGGAAGGATTTTACCAAGCTGTATAAAATCACACATCAAGTCAATCAACATGGACTCCTGTTGGAAGATGTTTGATTTTGTAGTGTGAAAGGAATTGCATCCCAGTTTGAGGATGACTGAAAGAAATTAGGGAATCTAGTCAGTGGTGAAATCCTCCGCGGGTGCCACCAGTTTTCTGCCCACGCATGCCCGGTGCATGCCAAACGCACGCTATGCGTTTGCATGCGTAGTGCGCACCAAACACACACTGCATATGGAAAAAGGAGCCTTTTGAAGGTAAGTAGAACAGTGGGGGGGGGGAAACAGCTGTGCCGCGTGATTTAGATTCGCTAGAAACCAGGATTTCCTGCTTTCTAGCGAATATAAATCGTGCAGCACAGCTGATCTTCAGAAATACTGGTTTGAACGAACCGGTAGCTTTTTCTTTACTACGGGTTTGCCCGAACTGGTGCAAACCGGTAGCATTTCACCCCTGAATCTAGTCTAACTGGAAGACTTTGGAATAGATTTCCAAGCATACTTTCTCTTATTTGTGCATTTGTGATATTAACCCTTCAATACTTGCAGTGTTTTTAAACAGAATTGGCACAAAAAGATTTTGCCAATTTGGCTGTTACCTCATCCCAATCTTGTAGCAATACTAAGGGTGCAACAAGAGACATGGTTAAGAAAAGAGTCTGCCAAAGGAAATTGTCCAATACCAGCTTCCTAGAAATGTCTTGTGAGCCTATTTTTCTTCAGCTAGAAAAAGGACTAGCAGTGCAGTTTCCCCAGCTGTGCCCAAAAGATCCATCCTTGTCCAGTGGTGAGATCCAGGCTTGCCCCTGAGTCAAGCAGGAAGACATGGGCAAATGCTAAAGAAAATCTCAGCTCCCAAAATGTCTCTTCTGTTGGGATATCGTCCTAAAACGAGCCGCTTTCTGAATCCTGAAACTCAGCCAAACTGCTCTGTTTTTTATTTTGGACATCGCAAATGTGTTTGGTAATTTTCCTTTTGCTTCTTAATACAACTCCCAACACGAGCAAGAAATCCTCCCACCTCCTCCAAAGAAACTCAGGACATACTCTGGGTGTGGTATTTGGATGTACTTTACCATTTCTACTTCTTTTTCCTTTCCTGTTTTTTTTTTTAATCCCCTCTACTGTGTTCGTTCTTTTCCTTGTATGTCCTGTCCTGCTTACATTTCAGGACTTGGCTCAGCTACTGAGAAATCATTTCTGCTATCCTTCTAATCAACATCAAAGCAGTTTGTCCCAAATGCCATCATTTAGAAGGTGATTTATTTATGGAAACCAGCTTAAAATCCTTGTAATTTGCATCCCCAAGGAACACAATTAATAAACCCAACGTCTAGGAACAGTTTTTTTCAATTCTTGTGAAGTATCTGTTTTATGTTCATCCATCCATCTATCTGTACATGTGTGGTTGAGTATATATGTGTCAGTATTATTGCATGCAATTAAGCACCCTTCCTCAGCAACATTAAATGATAATTGCTGAACAGAAATTGTTTCCTTTGATGAGTCTTTTGATGGGCTTAAACATTGTTCTTTCAATTTATTCCCACAGTAGTTTGTTTGCTTATTGTTTAGCAAAATAAGACATTATTTTAAATTAATTGATCCAAATAAAGACTTTGTTTTTTGTTCTCTCCTTGGTTCTTTTCATACATTTATTTTACTGACGTTGTGTTGTTTTAAAGTAGATTCAGAATCACCAAGACATTTTGCAACACTCGATTACATAGAGAGTCCTGAAGAAATGTTCCAAAAACGCAGCAGTGATAAAGAGGTAATCTTCCTGTTTTCATACTTTAATCTTAGAGAATGCCATTAAAAAAAAAAAAGAGCCCCCCCCCCCCCCCTCGAATATGTGATGCTGAATTCCAAGATGACAATCTTGGAATTCAGTCTTTGCTTTCATTATCCTGTGGTGGTGCCCATGAGTAGCATTTGTGCCCCTTGATATCCAGCAGGCTCCCGGAGCTTTAAAATATAAGTTTTTTTTAAAAAAAGTGGCATAAGAAGATTATGTGCTACTTACAAAGCAAAACGTCAGCCTTCAGCATCATCTTGAGTCGAAGGTGGGATTCTACAGAATTCCCTCTGGGAAGGTAGCTTGGTTTCTGATAAGTGGATATTTATAGTTATACCTGTCATTTTGTATCTAGGTAAGTTTTGCACTCACTTCTTGCTCTGAAGTTTTCGAATGTGTTTCCAGTCCCAAAACAACAATTAACCTGGAATTATGCAGTTAATATAGACCAGGGGTGTCAAACTTAAGGCCCGGGGGTTGGATCTGGCCCTCAGGGTATTTAGATCTGGCCCACAGGGCTGTCCTGGAAACAGCGAAGGACTGGCCCGCGGTGCTTCTGCCAGCGAAAACAGGCTCCCGAGCCATGGTAGCTGAAAGCGGAGTTCGGGAGCCCATTTTTGCTGGCAGAGCACTTGGGCCACCACAGGCGGCCCTGACAGAAGTGACATCGAGCTGGCCACGCCCTCCCTGGTCACACCCACCCCAGCCCCCTGAGGTCAAACACAACCCTGATGCGGCCCTCAATGAAATCTAGTTTAACACCCCAATATAGACCATGATTACTACACAGCATTGTTTGGGAGAATGTTGCGGTAACATAACAGTAATCTCAGTGGCAATGGCAATAGTAGTGGGGATTTCTTTCTGTGAACAGCCATCCAGATGTTTGAAGGCTGCAGCTCCTCTTCGTAGGGATTTTGTTCTAACGTGATTTCTTTGTAGTTGAGAAACTGAAAGGAAGACTGGCTGTTTGGCCATGGAGATGAAATCCTTGCCATGGAGGCTGGTGCCCTTGCCAGTTTATTGCCCTCTTGAACTTCTTCAGTGGACTATATTTTGAGAGCTTAATTTTTTAAAAAAGATACTTCTGTAAGCTTCCTGTTGTGGGCACTGCTTTTTGGCTACATAAGCAGTGAATCTTCAGTGTGACTGTCAGAAAGAAAGAAAGAAAGAAGGAAGGAAGGAGGGAGGGAAGGAAGGAAGGAAGAAAGAAAGAAAGGAAAGAGAAAGAAAGAAAGAAAGAAAGAAAGAAGGAAGGAAGGAGGGAGGGAAGGAAGGAAGGAAGGAAGGAAGAAAGAAAGGAAAGAAAAAGAAAGAAAGAGAAAGAAAGAAAGAAAGAAAGAAAGAAAGAAAGAAAGAAAGAAAGAAAGAAAGAAAGAAAGAAAGAAAGAGAAAGATAATGGAAATGGCTGGTGAACCAGACCCATCTTCTACAAACATCCCAAATATTCTTTTTTTGATTATTTCAATCTAGTTTAATATATAGGATGTAATAATCGTTTCTCTAAGCTTACTTTGGGGCTGTAGTGGCGAGATTGTATGCTCTTTATTTTGTTTTCTAATTTATTTTATTTATTTTTTTGCCGATATTAAATTGCTGTAAATTGGATGATTTACTGCCCATTTTATGCAATTTTATGGCAGAAACTTTTAGAGGACCAGAGACGGCTTAAACGTGAGCAAGAGGAGGCTGATATTGCAGCCAGAAGGCACGCGGGGGTCATTCCTACGCACCATCAGTTTATCACTAATGAGCGCTTTGGGGACCTTCTAATTAGAGACGATACAATCAAAAGGAAATCTGGGGCAGAGGTCTGTTGTGGTTGCCTCCCTCTGCTGCTTGACCCAATTCATAGTTTGCTTTTCATAGCATTCTGCTTTTTTGGCCAACGTTAGCTGTCCCAAGTGTTGGATTTTATTTTCACTTAGAGCCTGCTTTGACCTTGTTCTACATAATCCTGCAGAAAACTTGCGTGTTTTAATGCATGTCTGCTAAGTAAGGAATACTTGTGCACAGCTGTGATGCATGGCTCTTTGAAAACAGCAGTTGCTTTTATGGCGAGTCGGCAAACATTTGCTTCATCTTTTTGCACTGTATAGAATGCCTCCTTCTCTCTTTATCTTTGCCATCCGCTTAGATTGTCTTGTGGCTCCTGATCATGCAGTTTGGTTATGCATTGTGCACTCCGTAACATTTATTATTTCTGTAGTTTCTGTTATTAAGAACCTTGAGGGTCAGGCAAAATAAATGATCTTGTTTTAAAAAGGCAAAAGAAAGAACTGACTCTGCAAGGAGTCATAGTTTAAGAGAACAGATCAACTTGTCTTCACTGGAACTGAGGGTGACAAAACAGCCATGCTTTACATAAAAAAGTTTTGTATCTTTCTGGGTGGTGAAAGCTATGTGAAATCCTTGTCTTTATTTCTTCCTGCCACTCATTCCAGCTGATCAGGAACAAATGATCATTCCTGAGTTCTGGAGAAATTATCAGGAGGCTTCCATTGCACTCATAACGATAGAGTGTTGTGTGTACACATTCCAGAAGGCCATTTCATTCTGTGGATCACATTTGCAACTCAGACTGTTGCCTTCTGGGAGTAGGATGGTCAGAGTTCAGTTGATCACTGCCTCTCCGCTTAGGAGAGTCTAACCATTCACTTAGGGACGTGGTGGCTCAGTGGCTAAGACACTGAGCTTGTCGATCAGAAGTCGGCAATTCAGCAATTCGAATCCCTAGCACCGCATAACGGGGTGAGCTCCCGTTACTTGTCCCAGCTTCTGCCAACCTATCAGTTGGAAAGCACGTAAAAAATGTAAGTAGAAAAATAGGGACCACTTTGGTGGGAAGGTAACAGTGCTCTGTCTGCCTTCGGCGTTGAGTCATGCCGGCCACATGACCACGGAGACGTCTTCAGACAGCGCTGGCTCTTCGGCTTTGAAACGGAGATGAGCACCGCCCCCTAGAGCTGGAAATGACTAGCACACATGTGCGGGGGAACTTTTACGTTTACCTTAACCAGTCATTCAAACACATCTAATTTACTTAGTGATAGCTACATCTGTTTTTTTTTTCTTTACTTTTGATACAAATTCTTCAACAGTGGTATTCATTTTGATTCTACTGATTTTGCAAACTTAACAAACTTGCTGGAAAGACTGAAGTTGTGCTCCCTTGAAAAATCTAGTTCTCTTATTTTAGTAGTAGCCCTACTAGGTCTTATAGGCAGGTTTAACCACTCTTAGTTGCTTAAGAATTGGGACTAGATTCATCACACATTTAAGAAAGGAAACTCTGACAGTGTGCTTGCAATGTTGTGTATACCCTTTCAAATGATGTTCTGGAGATTTGGCAATTTTTTAAAATCGTGCTATTTTCAACCACTAGATGAGAGCTGCCAGAGTGAAGTTTGACTTCAAAGCCCAGACATTAAAGTGAGTATTGGTTATTTTCTCCCTATGTCTATAATACCTTTATGTTTTAGCCATTTCCTTCCTTCTGGTAATTATCTTACTTAAGTATATACTGTTTGTCTTCCCACTTGCACTCTCAATGTAGTCCAACAGTGTTTACATTGCCAACTATTCTGACCAAGGAAATGCATGCAACTGTCCATTGACCATCATTGCTCCAGCATTACTCCTCCACTGAATGCCACAGTAACTTCTCTGTCCCTTTTAATGCCTTGTCATTGCCTGCCATCTTTATACAGTTTCCAGACTTTCCATCATTTAATGCCATCATCAAGATGTTTGTTCCATTTGCCATCTCCATCTCCACCTCCTTCTTTCTCTTAAAACCTTCTCCAGATGTAATTTCCTGCTCTTTAGAAGGCCAGATCCTGAAGATGAAACTCAAATACTTTGGCCACCTAATGAGAAGGAAGGACTCACTGGAGAAGAGCCTAATGCTGGGAAGAATGAGGGCAAAAGAAGAAGGGGGCAGCAGAGAATGAGGTGGCTGGATGGAGTCACTGATGCAGTTGGCTTGAGCTTAAATGGACTCCAGAGGATGGTAGAGGACAGAAGGCCTGGAGGAATGTTGTCCATGGGGTCATGATGGGTTGGACACAACTTCGCAACTAACAACAACAAGATGCAATTTCAGTTCCACTTCCAATTCCTCCATCTTCAAATACATTACTTTAATGAACTTCTTTCACTTCTCTTCTGACCAAGCATCCTTCCCTTCACTATCCCAAGATCTGTCAGTTTTTAAATACTGCTGATGCAATCGGTTCTTTAGAATTTGGGGACAGATATTTATGTTTGTTTCTCCAGTTACGTTCTGCAGTTGTTAATATTTCTATTTGAAATTTGATGCTAATGAGATTTTATTAAAATAATTAACACATGAATTAATATGTCATTAACAGGGAACTCCCATTACAGAAAGGCGATATTGTTTACATTTATAAGCCAGTTGATCAGAATTGGTATGAAGGCGAACACCATGGCCGAGTGGGCATCTTCCCACAGTCTTACATAGAGGTACTGTTTCGTTTATTAAGCTATCAGGACTGGTCAGGCTGACACAAGATTGAAACCATCAGTCTTCTTTAAGATTTTTACATATGCCTTTTGCTTTTGTTTTATAGTTACTTAACCCAACAGAAAAAATCCAAACTAAAAAAACGTCACCATTGCAAATCTTGGAATATGGAAATGCAATTGCTAAATTCAGTTTCAATGGAGATACTGCTGTGGAAATGTCCTTCAGGAAGGTAGAGATCGCAGTTATTGTCAACCATTTTGAAATATTTCTTTCTCTCATTGTCTCTTTGTTCATCTTCCATCTTAATACTTAACAAAAAACTATATATTTTCTTTATTAATTTTTCATCTGTCCCTGTTAATATCTGATCTAATTCTGTTAATTCTTTACTTAAACCATACATTTTAACATCTTTCTCATATCTAGATTGTATCTGCACATATTTTTTTTTTTTAATTTGATTTATATGCCGCCCTTCTCTGGAGATTCAGGGCGGCTTACAATGCGTTAAGCAATAGCCTTCATACTTTTGTATATTTATACAAAGTCAGCTTATTGCCCCCACAAACTGGGTCCTCATTTAACCTACCTTAGAAAGGATGGAAGGCTGAGTCAACCTTGAGCCTGGTAAGATTCGAACCTGCAGAAATTGCAGGCAGCTGTGTTAATAACAGGGTGCATTAAACCACTGTACTACCAAGGCTCTTATAGATGACATATGATTCTCTCACATATGACCACCATGTTATCACAATCCCTTTCTCATGCAATCTACTGACATTATTTCTTTCTCATGCAATCTACTGACAATCAATTCAATTGCAGACATAGCAAATGGATGTTCTAAGCAGCAGATTGGAAATTTTAAAAATTAAAAAATATATTTTGCATAGTGTTTTCTAAAAATGGAAGGTTTGAGGTTAGTTGTTACATAATGTTAACTTTGTCCAATGCAACAAGCGTATTTATTTACACTTCTATAGCCTTCGTTTTGCACCTAAATGACAAAAGATATACAATCATTGTTGATACTAGAGATAGTAGGCAAGAAACTGAATGCCAATTATATGTATTTATTTATATATGTAATAATTAGTCTGAATTATTTTGCCAAAATGAAAATATATGCATGTCTATCACTTCTTTCTCGATTTTTTTTTAAAAATCTATCTTTGTGGGCTATATGAATTATACTGGAGTCTCTGAATATTTTAATTTTGGATCAAAAAGTTAAGCCATTTTCTTAGGCACTGTAAATGCAAGTCAGGCAATTTAAAAGCGTTTAATAGAAAGGAGACATCAAATCCATTTTAGCAGAGGAATGCGGTTCAGGCAAACAATTCAGTTCAATTCAAACCTTTATTGTCAGAGTACAACATGTGTACAATGAGATTGGCTGAGCCTCCCTTCGTGCAACCCCTCCCCCCCAGCCCAATACAACTCACAGTGCAAAACAGTAAAAGAAAAATCCCTACCCAGTGAATCCTACTAACAAATACAATCCTACTGCACCATGTGAATTTATTGCAAGCTGTGATGGCCCCGCAAGTCAATCGTACTACGTTGTTGTAAAGTTATTTTCCATTCAGGAGTCTGACAGCCCACGGATAAAAACTGTTCTTCAGCCTATTTGTGCGGCTGCCTATGCTTCTCTATCTCCTTCCCGACGGCAGGAAAATAAAGAAGTGCTGACCAGGGTGTGAGTCGTCCCTGAGGATTTTCCTCAGTCTTCTAAGGCAGCGACCCCTAGCGATCTTGTCTAGCGGTATCAGGGGACAGCCCATAATGTTTTGTGCTGTGCTCACCACCCTCTCTTGCTATCCACGGCTGTCAGGCCGGCATACCACACTCGTAATGCGCTGAGTGAGGACGCTTTCTATTGTGGACCGGTAAAAGGAGGTCATCACTTGTTGTTCCACTTTATTTTTTTGCAAGTTCCTAAGGAAGTGGAGTCTCTGTTGGGCCTTTCTGGCCACCTGGGTCATTTTGATTTTCCAGGTGAGATCTTCGCTGAGGAATTTAAAGGAGGAAAAACTCTCCACACAGCCCCCCTCGATGTAAACACAGAGCACATCCACTAAATGCAGCCCTTATATCTAAGTAGCATAAGCAAGTCCTGAACTTAAATTCATGTTTTGTTTTTTTGTCTACAGGGAGAAAGAATCACACTCATTCGACAAGTAGACGAGAACTGGTATGAAGGGAAAATCCTTGGCACCAATCGCCAGGGCATCTTCCCTGGCTCTTATGTGGACATACTTAAGCATCCGGTGCTGAAAGATACATCAGCCTATGCCTACCGACCGCCAAATTGCAGCGTGGCTTTTCCACAGGTAACTTGTTTGCGCCGCTGTTCATTGCAGTGCACCCGTGGCTTTGTTGGTCTATTTCCTAGGGCAAGATCCCCATCATTGCCTTGTGTCAGCCACGTCTTCTGGAGCGACAAAGATGCTATGTAGGCTAAAATATTCCTTAGCAGAACTGAGCTGAGAGATTTCATCCCAAGGTATCTCTGGTTGTCCACATGGAAAGCATACAGTAGTGGCCAAAATTGTGGAAACATTTTGGGAAAAGTGTATTTTCTTAAAATTAGATAATAACACCACTTTTTTTTTTTAGTAGTACCATAAAATTATATATCAATGGAAATATAGTTTAATCAATAATGTAATGCAATAATTTTTATGAAGGATTTGCTATTAGAATAGTAGTTACAGTATAAAGAAAAGTGAAAGACGTAGAAAAAACGAGATATACAAAAATTATCACCATAGAAAAAATGAGATATAGAAAAATGATCACCATGTCAGTTAATACTTATTTGGGTAACCTTTAGCATGAATTACAGCCTTACGACGTCTTCCCATGGAGTGAATCAAGTCTTTTAGTTCTGCAGCTGTTATAAGGTGAAACCAAGATTGAATGATTGCTTCTATGAACTGGGTTTTATTGCTAGGTCGCTTCTGATTAACAAGTTTCTTTAGTTGGCTGCATAGATTTTCAATTGGGTTAAGGTCTGGGCTATTCCCAGGCCATTCCAGCAGTGGAATACAATTATATTGAATCTGAATCGATATATATATAGAATCAATATATTGATTATATTGAATATGATATATTGATTATCTTGAAACTCCCAAAAAAGTGGTGTTATTAGCCATCAAACCTCAAAAATATACTTTTCCCAAAAGATTTCCACAATTTTGGCCACTACTGTAGATTCTCCTCTGGTGGCTGATTCCAGGCACAGATTGTGATTAAAATATGGTTTCAGTGGGGAAACAAGAAAACAAGGGACGGTCCTCAACTAAAGCATATTTAAGGTCATGCAGGAAGAGAGAGAAGCCACTACTTTGCTTACTGTTAAGGAGTAAACCTGCTCCTCCAACCTGGCAGTGCCCTCTGGCTGGGGTTTGTCAAGGGATGAGATGTTTGCTCCTTTGCACTATTCCATTAATGGTTCTGATTAGCCTTGGGTGAGAGGAAGGTTTGCAGGAGTGCGAATGCTAATCAAGTCCCAGGAGAATAAACATGCTTGTAATTCTGGACTCTGGCTGCACAAAGGCAGAACTCTTATGGGCTGTGCTGGTGGATTTTCAATTAGAGAAATAGATAAATCCCTTCTTAATAGGAGCTGCCACAAAGAAGAGGGAGTCAAGCTATTCTCCAAAGCACCTGAGGGTAGGACAAGAAGCAATGGGTGGAGACTACTGTAATCAAGGAGAGAAGCAACTGAGAACTAAGGAGAAACAGTTAGAACAATTCACCAATGGAACAACTTTCCTCCAGAAGTTGTGAATGCTCCAACACTGGAAGTTTTTAAGAAGATGTTGGATAAACATTTGTCTGAAGTAGTGTAGGGTTTATTTATGTATTTATTTAAGTGGTGTAGGGTGTATTTATGTATTTTATTTTGTGCCTGTTCACCGCCCTGAGTCCTTCAGGAGCAGGGCGGTATATAAATTTAATAAAACATAAAACAAACATAAACAGGGTTTCCTGCCTAAGCAGGGGGTTGGACTAGAAGACCTCCAAGGTCCCTTCCAACTCTGTTAGTCTATTGTCTAATAAAACAACCTCAGATGTTTAACAACAACATTTACCAAATCTCCACCACGTACTCTGGCTGATCTAAACACCGAAACATCTGTTCACTTTGTTCCAGAATTATTTAAAACATTGGAATACATATGAGAAATGCTTGTAAACCAGTTCCAAGACTGGCCCGAATATCTTCTGGGATTAAGGCCTGACTGAGAAAATTTTGAATTAGGTGGAGCCACATCTGGATGGTGAAACTCTTAAATTACAGCCAGGTTTTCATTCAACTCTAAAAAAGATTGCCTTAGATAATATTTCTAATATTTCTAAGAGATTGAAGGGGAACCAAGAGATGGAAACAGAATAATTACAATTCAGAGAATGAGTATAGGACTTTCTCTCTCTCTCAGTGTGTGTGTGTGTGTGTGTGTGCGTGTGCATATGACCTTCCAAAGGATCTTTTTAAAAACTTGCCGCCACTTATTTGTGTATGATCTTCCTGGGGTTTTTTTGTTTTTGTTTCCAGAAGTTGTCCAAAAACTTTTAATTTCCCTCTTTTAGATGTTTTCAGTGTCGGCTTCTGGGTGTCCTGGGAGAGATCCCACTGTGGAAAAGTTAACACCATCTCAGGTGGCGTTATTTTTCTGTGGAAAAAAATTCCTCAGTTAAAAAAAGGAAAGACTTCTTGCGCCTCTGACCTTCTTAACTTACCTCACTTAAAAGAAGGTGGTAGTGTCTGTGCAGAAGGCAATGAATTCAAGGCACAGCTTTGGCTTTTGTGATGAAAAGCTGCACAAGACAAGAGATCTGCTTTGCAGTCTGTGATATATGACAGGATTGCCCTTTGGTAGCAGCAGTTTGGCTGGGTAGCAAAATAACTTTATTTATTTATTTACATACATTTATATTGTCCATAAAAGGGATGTGGTGACTCAGTGGCTAAGATGCTAAGCTTGTCGATCAACAGGTCGGCAGTTCAGCGGTTCAAATCCCTGGTGCTGCGTGACGGGGTGAGCTCCCGTTACTTGCCTCAGCTTCTGCCAATCTAGCAATTTGAAAGCACGTAAAAAATGCAAGTAGAAAAATAGGGACCACCTTTGGTGGGAAGGTAACAGTGTTCGTGCGCCTTTGGCGTTGAGTCATGCCGGCCACATGACCACAGAGACATCTTCGGACAGCACTGGCTTTTCGGCTTTGAAACGGAGATGAGCACCGCCCCCTAGAGTCGGGAACGACTAGCACATATGTGTGAGGGGAACCTTTACTTTTTTATATTGTCCATATTACCAGACTCCAAATAGTATACGAAGGGGACAAAGGGCAGGCAGGCAGGAGCAGCCCTGGGGAGTGGGGCATGTTCAGAGAGGCTTACCACAGCAAGGTGAATTTGTCAACATTAGTAGAATTGGTATTAAAGATGGGAAAACCACAGGAATGTTGCTAGAAATCTAGTAGCTAACATGTGGTATGTTGCAGAATGAATGTCAAAAGAAACAAAATGGTAGAATCCAAGGGTTAGAAAGGCTCTTGGCCACTTTTTAGTCCACCTCCCCAGGACAGGAACCTCTTCAAACACCATCTTTGCGCAAAAGAAGCTGCTCGTTGGAGGGGTGTGTGTGTGTGTGACTACAAATGCAAGCAACCGCTGTGAGATTTAACAAGGAAAAACTGAATTGCAAGGAAAATACATGAAGGAAGAGGTGGAGTTGAGTGTTTACTGGCCAGATGCCGTTCCTGTCACCAATGTTATATAGTTATATTCAGCAGATATATTCTCATCCTGCCCAGAGACAGAAATATCTGCCTCTACCTAGGATCGAACTCACACCCTCCCGATTGCGAGGCGAGAGCGCCACCTCTAGGTCACCGCACCTCATGCAACAGACACTAATGCTTGGTGCTTATTCTTTGTCTGTGTTGTAACTGCTTGCTCTTCCCTCTTTCTTATTAGTTTTCTTATTTGTAAGAATTAATGCCTTGGAATTCCAGTGGCTCGGGAGGACTTTGTCCACAAGGCCCCTCAGCAAATAGCATTACAATTCACATCCTGCATATTTTCAAAGGCGGGATGTTTAAATTTATTTTTAATTTACAAACATTAACCTAGATTCTGTAAACCTGACTATGTGGAAGTAGCACTTTACTTTGTTATACAGTAGTGGCCAAAATTGTGGAAATCTTTTGGGGAAAGTATATTTTCTAAAACTAGCTAATAACACCACTTTTTTTGTGGAGTAGTACCATAAAATTATATATCAGTGGAAAGATAATTTAATCAAGAATGTAATGCAATAATTTTTATGAAGGATTTGCTATTAGAATAGCAGTTACAGTATAAAGAAGAAAAGTAAAACACATCGAAAAAAAAGGTAAATATAAAAAAATTATCACTGTGTCAGTTAATAGTTGGGTAACCTTTAGTATGAATTACGGCCTTACAACGTCTTCCCATGGAGTGAACCAAGTCTTTGAGTTCTGTAGCTGTTCTAATGTGAAAGCAAGATTGAATGATGGCTTCTATTAACTGGGTTTTATTGCTGGGTTGCTTCTGACTAACAAGTTTCTTTAATCAGCTCCATAGATTTTTCAATTGGGTTAAGGTCTGGGCTATTTCCAGGCCATTCCAGCAGTGGAATAGGATTATCTTGAAACTCCCAAAAAAAGTGGTGTTATTAGCCATCAAACCTCAAAAATACACTTTTCCCAAAAGGTTTCCACAATTTTGGCCACTACTGTAACTGTGCTCACACTGAAGGACCCACTCTATCACTTTTGGTGATAGAGTGTAGGTTGCAAGATGCTCTAAGTTTGGGAGCTGACAAAATTACACGGATATACATGTTAAATCAATCAATCAACCGTTAAAATGGTTCATAGTACCAACCGGGGTCACAGGGAATAGGAGACATATTCCTCCTGCCAAGGGACCTCAAATGTTGTGTTAATGTGCATCTCGTGCCATCTTCCCTGTCTCTGTATCCAGCTCTGTTATTTCAATTAACTGTCTAAAGTTGGAAATCTAATGTTGTGCTGTTTGTAAGATTTGAATCTGTTCATGGTACTGGTGCTAAAATTTTCCCTTCTCATGTACTTTAACAATTAAACAGCCTTCACTGAGGCCAGGACCTGAACTCACAGAATCGGAAAAGAACTATGTGGTAAGGTCACCCCAGAGTCCTGTCTGCCAGCCGCATTTGCACATGGTTGTCCTCTGAGCCCTCTGAAATGGCCAGCACTACTGAGCTGAGCAAGGTTTTGAGTGTGTGTTTGTCAGCTGTGCACGAGGGTTTCCACATGTCCAGGTCTTTAGACTGTTTTTTACAACATAAAGGCCAAAACACAAATGACAGTACAAATAAAAAAAAAAAAAAGGAGAAATCCAACTAGTTGTACTTAAAAGCCCCGCATTTGTAGAAGCCACAGTTGGGGTTTGAGTTTCTATTATTTGGTGGCTCAGTGAATGCAGAGTCTCTCAAAGTTGGCTACGAATAAAGAAAAGAAAAAAAAACGCAGTCTGAGATATATTGCGTTGTTAGAAAACTTAAATTGCATGCCAGAGGCAAAAATTTCATACCCAGATTTGAATTTTTAAATATGAGATGCTTCCTGACTAATTGCAATCTCTTTTGCTGCTGTGTTATAAAATTTTAAAACTAAATACTCAATTTTTCTGTATCTTGCCTGTTTTTCTATGCTTACAACCTGGATTTCTTCTACACATTCCTACTTGGATTATATTTCTGGATCTACCACTCTGTTGTCTGGCTGGACATGCTAAATGCTTCCTCTGGACTGTCCCATGTCGTCCTGACTCTCCCACATTTCCTGTTTTCGTCATTCTGTTCCCATCCGGGATGGCTATTATGTCCTGTCACTGTTATCCAGGAAGTTGTTTGCAATGAGATCTTAAACATTGCTGAAAAATCTGTTCATTACTGCAGCACTCTTTCTCAGCCTGTCTTTTGTCATAAGGGGCCGTTTAGTGACAATAAATCATCTTTCATCATTTCTCAGCAACCACAAGTCCTGCCATTAGAAACTGGCCTGGACCGGAATCATGCCACACGAGAACTGTAAGTTTGCCTGGACTGTAGATTTGGTGGATTATTTTCATTTTTTTAAAGAATAAAATTCCTGGTCAAGGAATTTGGGGTTATGTTAATTTTAGATTGCAGTTTGAGTAATATAGTTAGTTGTCCCAGTTCTAGACAGAGGTGGGGATTCAGCCGGTTCGTACCTGTTTGGGCGAACCTAGTAGTTGTGATCTGCGGGTGGGCCTGCCCCGGCTCTATGCCATCCTATTTAGCTGTTTTTTTTAAGCCGTGCGCATGTGTGCAAGCGTTAACGAAGCGCATGTGCAGAAGGGTGCACACATGTGTGGAAGGCAAAGCGAGCGCATGTGACTCACATTTTCAGTGCTGGGGCGAACCGGTGGTTAAATTACTGTTTTCCTGAAAATAAGACCCTGTCTTATATTTTTTTGAACCCTGAAATAAGTGGTTGGCCTTATTTTCGGGGCGTTCTTATTATTTTGGGGTGCGTGGAGCAAGATGGGGCTCTCCTTACCTGATTTCCAGCTCTGTGTTTAAATATTTGCGGGGAGGTCTTATTTTCAGGAGGAGGCTTATTTTAGCACATGTGCTCAAAAGCCTGATTGGGCTTATTATCAGGGGATGTCTTATTTTTGGGGAAACAGGGTATGTGAAGCCCACCTCTGGTTCTAGGAAAGTTTTAGAGGAAATTTTATCCCAGAAAAATGTCCTGCAATTAGTGATGTAGCCACTCATAGCTGCTGGCGATGAGTTTGAAGGATCCTCCCTTCCTTGTTGAGAATCTTAGATAACTTGGAAAAACCACCATCTTGCTTTGAGGTCACACTGGGAGGCCACAGGATGAGTTTTCCATAGTCTCTGTATATACATGTAAAAATTAAAGGCCATTTAGAATAGTTTTTAGTATGTTTTGTGCCTTATTACCTCTTTTGCTCTGTACCCGAAGAAGCATAGCTGGAAAGGCTCACGGTTGCCATTTTTCTCTCCCCTCTCCTCTGTCAACCTTCAGGCTTACCTATCGAGCACTTTACAGCTACATCCCACAGAATGATGATGAACTGGAGTTAAGAGATGGAGATATCATAGATGTTATGGAAAAGTGTGATGATGGCTGGTTTGTTGGTAAGCAAGTTATCAGCATTTGGCTGTGCAATCCAATCAACATGCACGACATTTCATTCAGATATTAAAAAAATCACATCGCTGTCTTGGGGAACTACATCATTGTGACAGGGTAAAAAGGGGATTCGCTGTGAGAGATTGGAAGGTGGAAGTATGACACTACTTCAGAATGGATCTGATTAAGTCATTAGTGAAATTATTTAAAACATTGTCAGGGAAATTTGATCTATAGGGCTGTCCACCAAGGGGAGGTTAAGAAAGTCAAAATGATCCCAACCACATGATCAAAGACTTGGCAACCTTGATACAGTAGTGGCTAAAATTGTGGAAACCTTTTGGGAAAAGTGTATTTTTGAGGTTTGATGGCTAATAACACCCCCCCCCCCTTTTTTTTTGGTGTTTCAAGATAATCCTATTCCACTGATGGAATGGCCTGGGAATAGCCCAGACCTTAACCCAATTGAAAACCTATGAAGCCCACTTAAGAAACTTGTTAGTCAGAAGCCACCTAGCAATAAAACCCAGTTAATAGAAGCAATTCTTCAATTTTGGTTTCACATGATAACAGCTACAGAACTAAAAGACTTTGTTCACTCCATGGGAAGACGTTGTAAGGCCCTAATTCACGCTAAAGGTTACCCAACTAAGTATTAACGGGCGTGGTGATAATTTTTGTATTTCTCATTTTTTCTACCTGTTTCACTTTTCTTCTTTATACTGTCATTGCTATTCTAATAGCAAATCCTTCATAAAAGTTATTGCATTACATTCGTGATTATCTTCCATTGATATATAATTTTATGGTACTACTCCAAAAAAAAATGGTGTTATTAGCTAGTTTTAGAAAATACACTTTTCCCAAAAGGTTTCCACAGTTTTGGCCACTCCTGTAATATTATTCACTTCCCCTTGAGATAAGTAAGCACATAGGTAGCCCTCAACTGACTACCATAAAGGAGCCTACCCAGAACGGGTGGAAGTCTTGACAGCTGTTAAGCAAAGAGCCTATGCAACTGCCTCTTGCCTCACGGCCCACTCATCCCTGCTCTTCCTGATGTGGTTAGTCAATGAACATGGGGCTGGTTAAGTGAGCTCTCAGGTCTAGGGCAAGGACCCTTTGAGCCCTCAGCGTCTTCACAGGCATGGACTGCTTCCCATCCCACCGGCCCCATACCCTCCTCCTCCTCACCCCATGTCACCATTGCACACTTGTTGAAGTTCTTCAGAACTCAGGAAAGGAGGGCAGATTGATCCATTCCTAGGCCATGTGGTACCACCCTAGAAGCGGGCATTTTCTGGGTGGCTGCATTGTAAATGGAAGTCACTTCTGGGATTGTGCTCCACTGTCCAGGAATGAAGCAACCTGCCGTCCTTCCCTAATGTGGATTCTGGAGATCTTCAAAAGGTGAAGAGGAGGGAACTGGTGTGGTGGAAACAGGTCCAAAGGCTGTAACTTTGGTCACTAAGGGATTAGTTTCAAGTTGAGGACTTGTATAACATAGCAATTACGTATTTTTAATTTTATATTTTTTATTATTTTATTCGGACCCAAAGCAAACTCATGAAATCATTAGATGTCGATTCAGTTAACCAAGATCATTGATGACAAGCAAGCTAAGGCCTTACCATTTTAAAATACCGTATTTTTTGGAGTATAAAACACACTTTTCCCCCCTAAAAGAGGGTGAAAATTTGGGTGCATCTTATACACCGAATGTAGCCAAAAACATGAGGCAAGGTGGAGGCAGTGGTCTGTGGCAATCCCTGCAGTCTGGAACAGCTGATTGGGGGTATTCCAGGAGACTGATCTACCCGCCAGTCAGCTGCTTCTGCTGAATCAGGCTGCAATAATGTGCTGAAGCTCACCTGGCTGTTTGCTATTTGCTGCGAGGACTGTCAGAGTTTACAGCAGCAATCACATCCAGAAAGCACACACAAGTAACTGATTCAGCAGGATTCAATAACTTCTCTTTATATATAATATAACACATGAAGTAAATATGCAATACCAAAAGCAGGTTTTCCAACATGGTAGTAAATACAAGTAAAACACAAGCAGAGGAGAGGAGTTTCAGTTTCAGTTTCAGAGATCAGCACAGCATGCAGCTTTAGTGAGCTAAGCCATGCTCAGGCTCCTTGCTGTCTCCTTCCTTGTTGCTCACACAGCAAATACTGTTTCAGTTTCCAAACAGCCCTCAATTCTCTCACACACTAACAGGACGCTAGCCAGATGAATAGCGATGGATGCTGGTAGGCAGAGGCAGAATTTTTTTTTTTCTTATTTTCCTCCCCAAAAACTAAGGTGTGTCTTATACTCTGAAAAATACAATAATTTCCCCACGGATCCCACTGTGATCTATCTTATCTGGATTTTTTTTCTACCTTTTTTTTCCACAAATAGGCACATCAAGGAGAACCCAACAGTTTGGGACTTTCCCAGGAAACTACGTGAAACTGCTATCCCTTTAGAAGCCATGGGCAACCTCTTCGTCTCGTCTGGAGGAGGACCTGTGACCTTTCTAAAACAATCCTTGGGAAAGAGAAGTTTTGAATGGAGTAGTCGCGACAGTAGGAGTGCACATGGAACGTGGTGAAAATGCTGGAGTTGTGCTGCAAAGGTCCTGCCTCCTTTTTTTGAACGCGCACAGAGGAGAGGAGACAGGATGATACGCCGTGGTACTCTGCTGTGTTTGTTTCTGTTTTTTATTCAGCTACGGGGAAATAACAGAAGGAAACAAGGCAGAGTTTCTGCTGGACCGAGGAGAGAAAAGGAGGGAGATTGGCAGGAGCAGGGAGTGTAGACTGCTTAAACATCCTGCAGCTTTTGTTTGCTCTTTATAGGAAAGGCCAAGTTGTCAGCATTCATGGAGCTCCTCCTCTCCCAAGGACATTAAAAAAACCCCAGAAGGAATTGTAGTCCAGCAGCATCTGGAAGGCCAGGCCTACCCACGCTTGTTCTAGCGCTTGACGGATTCCAAACTGGACAGCTAGAACAAAGGAAGATGGAATAGATGTTGGCCGCCATAGTCTATTCGGATTTATTCTGCAAAATATTCCTGAACGTGCCTTTCTAGAACTGATAATATATGTAATTTCTGGCTGCATCTATTTTTTTTTTTTTAAATAAACTAGAAATCGGTCAAACTTAAACTGTGCACACTTGATTGGGGAATAAACCCCATTGAATTGATTTGACAGTTTCCCGTTATTGGACTTTTATTTCTATTTTTTTATAGTCATTTTGATGGTGAATTGCATAATGATACACTAAAATAAACCTTGTTTCTGCTGTTGTTTTTTTTTAAAAAAAATTTATTATTATAGTTTATCCTTAATAGCAGGAGATTTTACATTCAGCATACTTTCTTTCTCTCATACATTAGTCTCTAGAACAGACGGGTTTAGTTTTCTTCATCCCGAGATCAGCCAAAAACATCAACTGAAGTGCTTTAATACTATGATTGTAGATATGTATATTCCCTTTGTAAAAACGTACAAATCCTATATTGCAAATTGAAATATAAAGCAGAGTCTTTTAAAAAAACAGTTTGAGGAGGACGCTTCCATTTTATTTATTATCACACTAAATAAATTAGTACTTGGGCTACAAAACGCTGTTTTTCAACAGAATTAGCATCATTGCTTCAATTGCACTAAAATGGCTTAGTGCGTTAAGCAGTTTTGTGCTGAGGCTTCTAGAATGCCATCCATTTCTAGGCTTGAAGCAGCTGTGGGCAGCCTTAACAGCTGAGGTCACTTGGGGAGTTTTGAGACCACTCAGACGGGCTGCCTGCCATGGGAAGGTTGTCAGTTCCCAAAATACATGTAAGTGGCACGGCTAACCACAAAACAACCCCTTTACTACAAGGCGAACAAGCGCTTCAGGCTTGCCAACTATCCTAGTGGGTTGCAAAGATATTGCTACAGCTCAAGTTTCCTATTTATTTTATTTAGTAATATATTAAAAAAAGAGGTGTAGTCTACCCTGTTTTAAGGGATATTTGAATATTTTTATTTTAGGATTGGCAGTAAAGTTACGAGAATTGAACAATTTTATTTTGCAAATATCTCAATATTGGTAGCATGTAACTAATCACAATAGCATTTTTAATTACTATATATTTATATTTCCGCTGACATAGTTCTAAACAAAAGAAGTTACTGTCCGTTTTATTTTACAGAGGATTATTTACAGTTAACAAATGGAAATGTTTAAAGCATGTTTCTTTGTGTAAAATATTAAATAAATATTAACCCAACACGAAATGGTAAAGTCTGCCCTGTTTTCCTTAGATGGTATTTGAGAGATTGTCCCAGTCTGATGAATGTTTCTGAATGTGATTGGGAGCAGAGTTCAAGTCTTGTCTAAAGCTTACTATGCTGAAGTGGCGAGCAGATTTGTGGGAAGAGAAAATTAAGAATAGCCACGTTTCCTCCCATCAACAATGCCTGCCTTGGGGATTTCCTACATCATTGTCCCAGGAATGCAGGTCAGGAAGAGTCCTCAGGCGGCTGCAAGAGGTGCTGCGCAGTTGGGGAGAATGTGCAAGATTGGGGGTGCACAAAAGGTGGCATGTGGATCGGGGTGTGTGTGCAAAGGGGTGCACAAGAGGTGTTGCACAAGTTGGTGTGTAAGGGGTGTGGTGCAGGTCAGGAAGGGTGTGCACAAGAGCTGCCACAGGTGAAGGGCAGATGAGTGTGTAAGAGCTGGTGTAAGTCAAGGCAAGTGCGTACACGTGCAGTGTGGGTCAGTGAGGGTGGGCAGGAGTCTTTCATGGTCAGGAAGGGTCCCCGGAGTGTGTGGAACATGTTACAGTTTGGGAATTGGGCATAGGAGCACAAAAGGTGCTTTGGGGGTCAGGGAGAGCATGCAGGAGTGTGGCGTTGGCTGGAAAGGGTACAAAGGTGTGCAAAAAGGTATGACGTAAGGGAGAATATGTAAAGGTGCAACATGAGTTGGGATGCATGTGGGGTCAGAAGGGGTGACTGGTGCATGGTGTGTGCACAAGAGGCTGCACAGGTTGGGGAGGGCATGTAGATATGGCGTAGGTCGGGGAAGGTGGTAGAGGTGTATGGATCAGGACAGGTGCATGGTGGAGAGCAAGGGGTGCATGTGGAGAGTGCACGGGAGTATGGTGAAAGGCTGGAGTGGTGCTGGGTGCGTGAAGGGTGCCATGCAGATTGGGAATGGTATCGGACAGGTGCTCTGGGAGTTAGGGAGGGCACTCGGGAGTGTAGTACAAGGCAGAAAAGGTGCACAGGTTGTGCGAGAAGTGCCATGGGAATCAGAAGATGCAGGGTGGATCACGACGGGTATGTGGGAGATGCCTCACAGGTCAGGAAGGGTGCATTGGTGCAGTATAGATTGGGAAGTGTGCACATGACAATGCAAGGTGTTGAGTGCAGATGGGGGTTGCCAACTACCTCACACTTGCACTTCAATATCAGCTGCCGTGAACTCAAGGGGGGCTGGATGGGAGGGGGGGATGCTTCGAGGGCAACAAAACTTCACTGTATCGCTCCGATGGGCTTCAAGGACAACTGGCTGGGAATGCAGCTGTGCACCGAACCTACGCCCAAAGTCCCTGTTCTAAAAACATCTTGTTTGAATTTGGGCATGGGGGAGGGCAGTGATAGGGGGCAACTAAGGGAGGGAAATGTTAGACTTGGGGATTTTGGTGCGCAATTCTCAGTTCTGGCTATGAATTCACTTGACTTCTAGTAAACCATGCTTTTCTCAATAAATGGAGTTGTTACTGAGCTTCAAGCTGAGACAGATCTGACAGGCACGGCATGTGTCGCATAGGTTTTTATGAATGGCTGGCAGTTTGAGTGCAGAGGGAGGGAAATTTACCCAAGCAATTTACGACTTTCCTGTTCTGACCTAGGCTTTCTGATACAGTAAAAAGCATGCAATTAGTCCCAAACCCCCTTTTTTAAATTTTAACGGCTGTGAATTCCTTTCATTCATAGCATGTGCTGAATCACCAAGAGTTTATAAATAGTCCAACAGAAGTCTGCCACAGTCCTTCCGATAAGGCTGGTAAACACCCACCTTTATCTTCTTTGACACGCTGCCAGACCTAATTAGCAATTATCTTGGCAAGACCACATGGAAACACAGTCAAAAACTGAGCTTCAAAGTACAAACCGACACCATCCACAATGTTGCTTCCTGCAAAGGCCCACGTGCCTTTGCTCTTCTTTTATGTCTTATGGGAAGGCCCAATCATCTCCAAGCCTTACTTCCGAGTCGTTCCTTTTGTTTTAACTGTTCTTACCTTCTCTTCTGGCCGCTCTGTGCACACACGCACTAGGAACAGGCTCCCCTTTTCTGAAGAAGTCTCTTCTGTTTTCCTTAAAAAAGAAACCCATTTCTTTTTCCATTATTTGAATGAATTCTTTATCTTTTAGTATTGCTCGATTCAACATCCATCTTTTTTTTCCTTTGGCCTTTCCATTTTATTTTTATTGGATTATGATCTGCCCATATGTTTGTTTTAATTTCTATCTCTTGTACATTTGCTCTTAATTCCGGAGTCAGACATATCATATCAATTCTTGACCATGATTGAGGTCTATCTGTGCAGATTATTAACACTGATTACTATTTGGACTTTTATTAACATGACTTGATTTAATAATCTAAAAATGACAAAGTATTTACATAAGATCTAAATATTTGAACTCAATCTGAAAGTGAGAGCTAGAACATATTAAAGTGTTTAGCTAACTAGTTTAGATTTATATTCCAATTATGAATACTGTAATCATCCAAATACAAGCTCTAGTTTACATATATTTATTCAGCTGGAATGGAAGTATTACTTTATTATAATATAAACGTAACATTTATTTAAATATTTAAAATATAATATATATTATTGGTAGCAAAACAGAAGCATACAAAGAATGTTATTTATATTTTATTTCCTAGTCCAAGTGTTTGAATTTGTTTTTTAGATATCTGCCAATTGCAGGTTTTTTTAACTGATGTTAAACTAGCATTTTTTTCTATAACCAGAACTATAGTTAAAGATAATACATAATAAGAAATAATTTAATTATGTTTATTCTTCATTATTTAAATTTTCTTTGAATTGTGCTCTAACACTTTCACGGGAACTCTGGAGAGGGGAAAAAGATTGACATTAAATGAAAAACCATTACGTAGTCACCATTGCACAGACACACTTGCAGCTATTGTGAATGACTGCCCAGGCATGCACATCTTTCACAAATGTGCCACAGAATGTGAAAAACACACAATGACAACAGGGCTTGATAAAGTCCTTTTAATGGAAAATGTAAAACCCCTTTCAACTTTTGATGTACAAAGCATGTTTAACACTTGCACTTTTAACAAATTAAAGCAAGCCAATGTTTTAAAAAAATACATTATTGAATGTATATATGTATATATTTACATAGCATATTAAGTTTTATATTTAGCTTTAAAAGTTCACATAAATTTTACCAAAATGAGACAAATTTTAAATAAATTACACATTTTTGAAAATGTTTAATTGTACACTGAATAGCTTCAATAAAATACTGAAGTGTCTGTAGCATATATTTCATATATTTTTATGATACAAAGTTTACAGTTATTTGGCAGTAATTTTCAGATCATGACATGACTGCTGTGCGGATTCAGCAATATCTCAATTGCAGGCAATAGCTGGTGTTTGTATCCTACTCTCACAGTTAACTGTCTCAATGCAGTGAAAAATATCCAAGTTATTTTAAACAAACTGTACAAATCACATTTACATTTGATCAACAATAGAGCATAGAATTCTGTAGTTTTTTTTTTCCAAAAATAAATACATCTTAAACTTTTGACAAGTTTGAAAAATTCATTTACACTATAATACATAACAGCTCAGTGCTGTTTAGAGTTTCCCATTTCAAAAAAGCTCAAGTTAAATTCAAAAGCACTGAAAGAAGAGCCTATTTTGTTGCAGTGTCAGTAGCAAGTAAATATAAGAAACATATTTTCTTGGCACTGATAGTTCGTGCAGCTTATATTAGTGAAGACACTCTTTATCGTAAAGAAAAATACGATCGGTTATTTTCTTCTGAGCCCAAGGAGGGAACCCATACATTTTAATTTTCTTCAATATCTTCAATTTCATGTTCATGAGTTTTCAGAGCTCTTACCATTTCCTTAACTGCGTGACATAATATATTTTTTATCTGTAAGAAAATCAAGGAAGAAATGAATGTTTGAAAAAAAGACAGTGAAGGGAAGAGATGGGCTGGTTCATATAAATTCCTCAACTGCTTCTGTGCTTAACTCTGCTCTTCTCAAGGACAGAATAATATGTACAGCCATGACTTCGGCTCTCTCTGTATGGACTATTAGAGGCCAGGAAGGAGACAGTCCAGGCTGCCTCCCTAGAAACTCAAGAGGAAGGATATGTATTCTCTAGATCAAGGGTGTCAAACTCAAGGTCCAGCCGCTGGATACGACCCATGGGGTACTTAGGTCTGACCCGTGGGGTCGCCCTGGAAACAGTGAAGACCCGGCCTGTGGTGCTTTTGCCAGTGAAAAACGGGCAACAAGCTCAGTTTTTGGCTGCCATGGCCTCCTGCAACCCTCTGCCAGTGAAAATGCATGTGGTGCTCCTGAGCTCCGTTTTCACTGGCAGAGGGTTGCAAGAGGCTGTGGCAGCCGAAAATGGAGCTCGGGAGCCCGTTTTTCACTGGCAGAGCACTCGGGCCACCCCAGGCGCCCCTGACAGGAGTGACATCGAGCTGGCCATGCTGCCTCCGCCCCCTTGCCCCCAGGTCAAACACAGCCCTGATGTGGCCCTCAATGAAATCAAGTTTGACTCCCCTGTTCTAGATTAATTTAAATACAGGTAGTCCTTGACATACAACCTTTCATTTAGTGACTGTTTGATGCTATAATGGCACTGAAAAAAGTGACTTATGACCTGTTCTTGTACTTAACGACCATCCCAGCAGTTACACGATCTTAGTTCAGACGCTTGGCAACTGACGTGTATTTACCAAAGTTATAGCATCCTGTCATTTGCAACCTTCCCAGCCAGCTTCTGACAAGCAAAGTCAATGGGGAAGCCAGATTTACTTACTACGTGAGTGATTCACTTAAACTGACCTGACCTAAGTTTTTTCCCCTTTTTAAATGGAAATTTTAAATTTGGTTTTAAATTATTGGGGTTTTAAAATTCAGCCAAATTATTTAATCTGTTTTATTCTATTTTAAATTTTGTATTTATATGTTTTATTCTATGGCT